TTTCACCAGATGGATTCACGAGATTACTTACTGGTGAATTTGAATTTGAATTTCTTGTAAGTCCGCGTGGGTAGGTACCACTACCCTGCCTATTTCTGCCGTGAAGCAGTAATGCGTTTCGGTTTGAAGGGTAGGGCAGCCGTTGTAACTATACTTGAGACCTTAGAACTTATATTTTTTTTTTTTTTTTTTTTTTTTTTGGTTTCANTATTATAATATGAATGTCACACAATAATAATAGAGAAGTAATGAAATGTTTAGCAATTATAAAATTTGGTGAGCCACAAAAAAACAGCATTGAAATCATTTGGTCGGCGTACAAAGATTTTGTTTGCAATTAAAAAAATCAGGCAGCAATCCTTGTTGGAACGAACAGCAGAAGATTTTTATTATTTATGTATAGTCTTAGCATAATTAATGGCTATAGTGTCTAATGTATAGTCTACATGCTGACGGTCATTATTATTATTCACATAAATAGCTGTTTCTTTGTATATTATTTATATTTATTTTTGATAAATCATTGTGAATAAAATGAAGTTGATAATGTAGTTTTTATAAAAAATATATACCCGAATAATTATTTTCTTTATACCTCGAATATAACTTAAAATTAATATTTTTATAATAAGGAAATTCGTTCCTGTCCGGTGTCCCATGACACCACACATCTTTTTTTAAGCTATTATTAAAACACAACGCGCTTCAGTAAGAGGAAAAAAATTATAATACAGTCTTTGATAAGTTTTTGATGATAGAAATAAAAACAAAAACACATCGCGCATAATCCCTAATGATGAAGACGGCAAATCGAAAATTTCTTCGTCTTGAAGTCATATTTTGTGATCGTGTGTAATACATACTAATATTATAAATGTGAAAGTGTGTTTGTTTATTTATTTTTTTGTGTATCTATTCGTCCTTCTTTTACGTGGAAACGTAGCAACGTATTTATGTGTTTTTTTTTTTAAATGACAGTTGTAATGACTGTACCTTTTATCCCGAAAAAAAAAAAGCAACTCACTTCGAAGAGAATCCACATTGACACATTTCCTGGATCGACAAAACCGCGAGCAGCAGCTAGTTATCAAAATAAATCTTAGTCTTAATTAGTTAGTCTTAGTTAGTAATCTAGCCTACTGAGGTTCTCGACGGATCTTCTCAGTGGGTCACGTTTCCGATCAGACGGTAGATTCTGCGAAGCACTGCTCTTGCTGGGGCCAGTGTTAGCAAACCCTCCGGTTTGAGCCCCGAGAGCTCACCTACACGCTAGGGAACGCTGATATAGCCTCCCAAGGCTATCAGCATAGGTAGAAAAAAAACGCCTTTTCAAAATTCTTCTCAATCGTGTCACTCTTGACAAGTGGTCAAGGGTTCTCGCCATCTCTGCCTGGTTGAAGTCATCGTACTACACTCATTAAGGAGACCTACTACTGTGGTTTTAATTTAGGCATTCCACCGCATTTACGACCTCCCTTTTCAAGATAAGCTTGCATATATACAAGTTCCAAACTCTACTGAGCAATAAAGGTGGAAGATCTTCCCTTTATCGTTAATTCCTAAAAGGCAAAATTACCATAAATAAAACAATAATGAAGTTTCATCTTTCATTTTTTTAAGAACGACAATGCCATTATAGTTCCAGTTTTTAGTTTATCAAAGTATTTAGAATAAAAAATAAAAATAAAACTTAATCGAAACATCCCCAATCAACAATCAAGTATACAAACATTAATAACGACGGATATTAAAATATTAATGTTAACTTTTTTTTTTTTTAGAAAGTACAAATGATATAGACGCTTCGCCGCGGGCAATTGATTCTTAATTATGATATACGATGTAATAAATTGTGGCTTTAAACAAACATTTCATATGTTCTGTTGGTTCACGTGTACACTTGCGTACAGAAAAACCGTTTTCTGTTGTTTTGTGGTAACTTAATTTACTGACTAGCGAGGTTCGCTGCAACCATAGCGATAATTTTTGCTAAATGACCCCAAACGCCAAAAGCCTGTCAATATTAACAAGGCAGTTCTCCCTGTCTTTAGGCGACTCGAAAAAATATGCTCAAAAAAAATGTATCGCTGTCTCCGACTGTACATGTCAAAAAAAACGCGCGTTTTTTTTCCTGCCGCGTTTTTTGTTCGTATTGAATCTAACAACAAGCCTCCCTCCCACGTAGAAACGCAATACCTGACCAGTGAAAGCGTACTTCACAATTAATTTCGAATACTAATTATCATGTGCTTTTTTTAAATATGCAAATTATCTTTCATTACGATACTTGATAAGAAAATATCATATGAATGGTGCACACTTAGAAAGCTGTGATTGATTGATGCTTTTAAGCTGCCGCATTGAAATGGCAAATGGGCTTCGAAAACCTGGTCCGACTGATAAACTTCAAACGTAACCTATATTTAGAATTAAGTACATTGCCTTAAATACACAGTATTGTATCAGAGCCGTATGTATACTCATTTAATTCCTAAATTCACGTAATTGTCTCTCTAGTTAGTTCAGTTACGGTATATATCTGTTGTTAGTCTTTCTTTAGATTACACGTGGCTTGGTTTTTTTCCCCTACTTATTTGCTGGTAGCTTAGGGGGCTATACCGGCTACGCCCGGACGAATAGGTGACCTGAGAGAATTCTTTTTTTTTAATTGCTTATATGGGTGGCAAGCTCACAGCCCACCTGGTGTTAAGTGGTTACTGGAGCCCATAGACATCCACAACGTAAATGCGCGACCCACCTTGAGATATAAGTTCTAAGGTCTCAAGTATAGTTACAACGGCTGCCCCATCCTTCAAACCGAAACGCATTACTGCTTCACGGCAGAAATAGGCAGGGTGGTGGTACCCACCCGCACGGACTCACAAGAGGTCCTATCACCAGTCATTCGCTAACACTAGCACCTAACAAGAGCAGTACTTCACAGAATCTACTACCGGATCGGAATCGCGACCCGCTGAAAATATCCGGCGAGAAACTCTATATTATTATTATCTATATCTATACGAATATTTAACGCTACAGTGGTTTTTACGGATGTTCCGTTTTAATTATTGAATTATGCATCCGATTGACTTGAAACTTGATATCCATGTAGAAAATATATGTGCTTAATGGATAGGCTAATATTTATATGAATGTTGGACTCCCTACAGCAGTTACGTTAATGATGAGAATCTTTGTACGGGGTGAGAAATAATAATGTTAATTTTAAATGCCCAGCGGGCGAGTACGGCTAGTTATCTATATTATTATCTATAGGTATATTATTGCTCTAAATTCAAAGTGAAATAAAAACCTTTTCCATTTTCTAAACACAAATTTAACTATTTTTTAAATATCTTTTTAAATATAAAAATTTTTAGTGCTCAAGCTTCACTGAAATCCACTTTTTTTTTAACCACCACCACCAATTTTTTTTAAAAGTAAACAAAAGATATGTATAGATATATCGTAAAACAAACAAAGCGAATGCTAATTAAAGTTTATTATGCCACCTCCGTTAATTATTGGCCTGTTTAGCGTCACAGTGCGACAGCTGACAGACGGCGCGCCAATTCACACAGACCTGAGTTATAGGTGGGAGTTACAAGTCAAATCATTAGCAGCCCAAGCTGGGCGAAGGATTGAAGATTCTCGAAAGAAAGATCTTTTTTTTTATTGCTTAGATTGGTGAACGACCTCACAGCCTACCTGGTTGTTAAGTCGTTACTGGAGCCCATAGACATTTACAACGCAAATGCGCCACCCACCTTGAGATATTTGAGCCCCTTAACACCAGGAGGACTGTGAGCTCGTCCACTAATCTAACCAAAAAAAAAAGACCGTCTTTCGTATACTATAACTGAACTTCATACATCAATACGACTAAACAATTCATTGAATATTCATTATACTACAGGTCCCGCAGTAATCGAAATTCGACTATAATTAATTGGAATTGTAAGTTTGTACACTTACATGATTGTATTTTATACTTCGATAATCACAAATTTCGCCAATCTATTTTCAATTTGACCACAGACGTCAAGAACAAAAGTTTGACAATAAATAGTATGCATGCGTGTGTGCGTCAAATACATGGTATGTAGTGTGTGTAATGTTTTCTTTATTGATTTAATGTATGTTTAATGCATTATTTAAAAAAAAAATACCATTGTGCACTTCTTCTCTATATTCTCTATAAGTGTGGAAAATTTCATACTCCTCCGTCCGCGCAATTTTCGTAAAAAGGGATACAAAGTTTCTGCTTCACGTATTAATATATAGATATTCATGTTTACCTTCCACGTTTTCCGATTGGGATGTAATTTACACAGATTAAACAATAGAATTAGAGAGTCACAAATACAAAATAATTGAACTCTATAAACCTACTAGTTCGTCGCTCTTACTTGACATTGTCATTGTGCTGTAAAACTCGAACTCATGTTTGATACATGAGCACACAACGGTGGGTGACAGCGTTTATGGGCTCCGGTAACCACTTAACATTAGATGGGCCGTTAGCTCCTCCTGAGACCTTAGAACTTATATAAGTCACACAACTTATATAGAACTTATATAAGAACTTATATAAGTTCTAAGGTCTCAGAATAGTTACAACGGCTACCCCACCCTTCAAACCGAAAAGCATTACTACTTCACTGCAGAAATAGGCAGGGTGGTGGTATCTACACGTGAGGACTCACAAGACGTCCTACCACCAGTAATTACGCAAATTATAATTTTGTCGGTTTGATTTTAATTACACGATGTCATTCCTTCACCGTGGAAGTCAATCGTGAAAATTTGTTAAGTACGTATTTCATTAGAACAATTGGTACCCGCCTGCGGGATTCGAACACCGATGCATCGCTACACACGAATGCACCGAACGTCTTATCCTTTAGGCCACGACGACTATCTGTTTCGGGCGATGGCGGCTATGCGTTAACTCAAGAACAATATAGAAGTACTTATATCGCGTTCTTCTATTGCAGAACCAGTTCATCAGGCGGTATATCTCTTGGAGCGCATCTCGTCTGCGCGAAGGCCCCTGGTCTGACCGACAAACAACGCGCCATGTGTCGGTCCTCTCCTTCGGCTATAGCCGCAATCGGTGATGGACTTAAGTGAGTGCTTAAACTTAAATAACATTAGGACCATACATATGTTTTTTTATACTACTTAGATCGGTGGCTGATATTATGCTATGCCCCTCACACTAGTACCTAAGTCATATATCAATTCTCACAAACACATAATGTACTCTAACTCTTAGTTCTTAAGTTCTAAATCATTGTTACTATATAACATACTTATTTCCTCGTGTTACTAAATCATATGTATATTATTTACTTCACATCAAATCTTCATTTGTAATTCGAACATTAGTTAATATTGTATTCCTTTCACATTAGTAATATCCTGTTATTTACTAATTGTGCGCCACTTCGATAAAGCGGCACGACACGAGAACTCTCTCATCGTGGCCGCCGGTAACTACATTCCCGATCCTGCGGACAGAATGGAAAGCAGTCGACGTCGCCCCAAACACGTCATATCGGATCCTCCCGATCCACTAACGGTGCTTCTAGGAACCTCAAGCACCGGTCGTCGTTCTCGTCGAACCCGTCGTTTGCGACGAAGGGCTCGACGATTAAATTAACCCTCAGACACAGCCCACTGAGTTTCTCGCCGGCTCTTCTGAGTGGATTGCGTTTCCGATCCGGTGGTAGGTTCTGCGAAGCACGGCTCTTGCTAGGGTTCGTGTTAGCAACGTCGTCAGGTTTGAGCCGAGACCTCTTGTGAGTTCGCACGGGTAGGTACCACCACCCCGCCTATTTCTGCCGTGAAGCAGTAATGCGTTTCGGTTTGGAGGGTAAGGTAGCCGTTGTAACTATACCGCGACCTTGGAACTAATATCTCAAGGTGGGTGGCGGCATTTACGTTGTAGATGTCTATGGGCTCCAGTAACCACTTAACACCAGGTGGGCTGTGAGCTCGTCCACCCATTTAAGCAATAAAAAAAATAAAAAAAAAAATCACATAATCGTTAACATGCATAACAAACTGTATTACAACGCTTTTTTTTCATTACCAGGATGGCATATGAAGAATGCCGGGCTCAATTGAGCGGCCACAGGTGGAACTGCTCAGGAGTGGGAGACGGAAATCACTTCGGGCACGTTATGCCGTTAGGTTAGTTCTTAAATTACTTTTAATATTATCAAAAGACTAGCGACCTGCCCTCGCTTCGCTTCGGAAACATTAAATTTTATTATAGATAGTTGAGTCCGTCGATGTTATCCGCGGCTATTATCGTACCGCGGGTGACGCCGCGGGGCGAAGCTAGTCTAAAAAAAGTAGCCTACGTTACTCCTTATATCATCAGCTACCTATCAGTGAAAGTCTCGTCAAAATAGTTCCAGCCGTTCCAAAATTAGCCGGAACAAACAAACAGACAGACAGACAGACAGCCAAAAATTGTAAATAATATTATTTTGGTGTATGTGCCGTATACATATTCATATACATGTAGTAAAAAGCGGTTATTTCAATATTACAAACAGGTACTCCAATTTTATTTATATGTATAGATGATAAGGAGCGTACTGCCCTTCCCTATTTCTACTGAGAAGCAGTCATGAGTTCCTATACTGCACTGATGTCCTCAAGGTGGTATCTATGAGACCTTAACAATCATTATCATTATCATCATCAGCCCACAGATGTACACCGCTGCATATAAGCCTACCAAAGTTTTTCTATCAACAGCAACATAATATCCACTCTGAGTTACACATACTCTGTGACTTATGGGACACCACAGTATAGCGTACAACAGTGGATCAACAGTACTCTCCGTTGTAATGAATTGCACAACGATGCCGCAATCCTAGCAAATCACGAAATATCCATTCTCATTTCTGGTGGTAGGACCTCTTGTGAGTCCGCACGGGTAGGTACCACCACTCTGCTTATTGCTGCCGTGAAGCTGTAATGCGTTTCGGTTTGAAGGGTGGGGCAGCCGTTGTAACTATACTTGAGACCTTAGAACTTATATCTCAAGGTGGGTGGCGCATTTACGTTTAGATGTCTATGGGATCCAGTAATCACTTAACACCAGGTGGGCTCTGAGCTCGTACAACTATCAAAGCAATGAAAAAGTAAAAAAAAAATATTGCTCTTCCCGGAAAAGGAGACAGAATCTAGTTTAAAAAAAAACACTCAGATCATTTTTACATACATACAGAAGAGCATTTTAAATTATTTAAAACTAGCTTACCCGGCAGACTTCGTAGTGCCTCAATCGATAAATAAAAGACCTAAACTTTTGTATAAAATAAACTTAAAACAAATAACAGCAATCCGTCCGATGGATACACATCAAAGGAAAAACAAAATTGTCATTTTTATTTAATTACGAGCATTTTCATATTTATCTACCTTTTAAAACTTCTCTGGACTAACACAAATAATTCAAGACCATTTGGTCAATAATTATTAGTCAGATCGGTCCAGCCGTTCTCGAGTTTCAGTGAGACTAACGAACAGCAATTCATTTATATATATATATATAAGTATATAGATTTAAAATTTGGAAAAAATATCATGTCAAAAAAAAACCTCTTCAGCTATTTGAATTAGGTAAACATTTTAATTAAAATATTTAATTAAAAACATCGAATTGCTTCGAATAGAAATAATACTAAAATAAAACGGACCTTTAATTACAAAGATAAATGTCGCGTATTAACCGAAACATAGCTTAAACCAAATAGCTTTTCAACTCTCGATATGAATAACGAATATCCCATAAAAAAATACAGAAAATCCGTTTTTTTATTTTTTTTTTATTGCCCTTGTAGGCAGACGAGCATACGGCCCACCTGATCGTGAGTGATTACCGTCGCCCATGGACTTCAGCAATGCCAGGGGCAGAGCCAAGCCGCTGCCTACCGATTACAACCAGTATAACGATGTACTTAGATAGCAATTATTATTGATATACTAGCTGACCCGGCAGACTTCGTAGCGCCTCAATCGATAAATAAAAGACCTAAACTTTTGTATGAAAAAAACTTAAAACAAACAAACGGAATCCGTCCGACGGGAGACACATCAAAGGAAAAACAAAATATTTATCTAGCTTTTAAACCTTCTCTGGACTTCCACAAATAGTTCAAGACCAAAATTAGCCAAATCGGTCCAGCCGTTCTCGAGTTTTAGCGAGACTAACGAACAGCAATTCATTTTTATTTATATAGATTACGATGTATTTATTATGTTTAAATCACATCGTCAAGTCAGCCTAAAACTATAATATGTTATGATTTAATAAACGATCGTGTCCACCCCTAAACGTAAATATATGCGTGAATATATTTAACTTTGTCGTGATGTAACCCACCCACAAGGAGCGCGAGAAACTCGCTACAAAATCTATAGTCAATACTTTATCCATTACCGTTCACTTAAAAAAAAACATGTCGGCAATTATGTGTTCGGAAACTGTAATTTCCTTATTGCACGAAAACTTCGAAGTATTGTAAATAAAATGGATACAAATGCTGCAGATGACTTAACGTAATTCAGTAGTGATGGCCGCGACTTCCTCAAATGCTTCAATAATGAACAAATAATCTATACTAACATATAAATCTACAATGGTTTTACGGATGTTCCATTATAACTACTGAACCGTGCATCCGATTCACTTGAAACTTAGTATCCATGTAGAAAATACATGTACTTAATGGATAGGCTAATATTTATATGAGTGTTGGACTCCCTAATAATAATAACAATAAATGATAATGTTAATTTTAAGTAAATGCCCAGCGAAGCGGACGAGTACGGCTAGTATTTGATAAACATAGTTCATAGCTGAAGGCTGAGATCTCGCGGTATCACCATCTTGCCTATTTGTGCCGTGAAGCAGTAATGCGGTTCGGTTTTAAGGGCGGTGCAGCCGTTCTACTGTTAAAAGTGAGACCCTTACAACTCATGTCTTGAGATGGACGACATTCACGTTGTAAATGTCTAAGGGTTCCGGTAACCACTTAACACCAGGTGGACTGTGAGCTCGTCCACCCATCTAAGGCATATATATTTTTTTTAATTCGAAAATCTTGCATCAAGTATCATAAACAATATATGAATAAATGTATTGGAAACATAGTTCGTTATTTCTGGATTACAAATTTTTAGAACAAATCCAGGAATCATGTCAAGTTCTTTTATTTGTGAAGTATAAACTATAATTCCGCTTTCCAATCACAGAAAACCAATAAATTATGTCGATAAATACGACTTTTTGTTTTACCTCTATTGACAGGAGGTATAAATTTGCATTTAGTTAAATAATTGTGCACTTTCTCACATATACCGTGGTATCTCAATTGGGCTCATTGAAATAACAAATTTAACCGGAGCCCATAGACATCTACAATATAAATGCCGCCACCCACCTTGAGATATTAGTTCTAAGGTCTCAGTATAGTTACAACGCCTGCCCCACCTTTCAAACGGAAACGCATTACTGCTTCACGGCAGAAATAAGCAGGGTGGTGGTACCTACCCGTGCAGACTCATAAGAGGCCCTATCACCCGTAAAAACATGGTAGGCTAATACAGTTAAAATAATGTATTATGAAGTCTAAACTAAAAAACAAACTGAAGCTTAAAAACTTTTGAAACAACTTTTAAAAATTATGATAACCTAAATATCGTCAAGTGACAAATGTCTTTGACAGGCGCGCAAATTTTAAAATTAATCAAACGCCTTGAAGTCTATATAAATGTCATGTCAATCAAATTCGCGCCATTTTGTATTTTATTTCTGTACCAAGAATCTGCTCACATATCGCTTTATTTTTCTACCTAATCACAAGCTATGCAGATAAGTCGTTAGCTTAGGTAACCTACCCGCAAATCCGCGTTTGATATTCAATAGACCTGTCCCTGTCCATCCGAACTGGTGAGAGTCGCAAACATAACCTACACCCACAGCGGAAGCCTTGATTTATGCTCGACTTATAATTGGCGCCATGTTTATTTATCTGTCAGATTGTTGTTTTTTAATTGCCACACTAGACTTGGTTATGTTAAATCGAATATTTTCATAGGTAAGACCTTGGATGTATAATCTATACATTATTACGTGAAGCAAAAACTTTGTACCTATTTTCACGAAAATTGCGCGGACGGAGGAGTATGAAATTTCCCACACATATAAAGAATATAGAGAAGGAGTGCAGAATACAATTTTTTTTTTTATTATGTATTTTTTATATACTAAACCAATAAAAAAAACATTACACACACTACCATGTATTTGATACAACACATACATATAATTAAACTCTTTGTTTATTGTCAATTGTCAAACTTGTTATTGTTTAAAATCTATGGTCAAATTAAGAATAGATTAATATTGTTTATCTATAGTGTAGTTTTGGCGAAATCTGTGATTATATTATTGAAATATAATAGTGTTTGACAGTAGAACCATAATTATGTTTAAGCATAAAATTTCAATTAATTATAGTCGAATTTCGACTACTGCGGGACCACTAGTATTGTTTAAATGGTCTGTATTGGTCCGTAACATAGCTCTCACACACAGACACAACCCACTGAATTTCTCGTCGGATCTTCTCAGTTGATCGCGATTCCGATCCGGTGATAGATTCTGCTAAACACTGCTCTTTCTAGAGCCAGTGTTGGCCAGAGCGTAGCTGGGATAGGCCCTTAGGTTACCACGGAATAAGTAGAAAAGACACAGAAAGTCATCTGTGAATATGAAAACTGTACTGTTACGCCGGTAAGAGTAACATCATCTATCGCGGAATAGTCAAACGAATATCGAAGGATCTAGTACCACCTAGAATGCTCGAGAAGTACAACGCCATCTATTGTCAGATAGCGGACACACAATACTAGAGATGTGTGGAATATTCTCGATAATTCTAGGGATGTGGTATCGGCTATAAAAGCGTTGCAGGGATGGCACGCAGTCAGTTAGTAATCGGAACTACTCGAAGCGAAACAGCGAGCGGATCATCTGAAGCGAAGCGGAAGAAGCGAATTGAGAGTTTTAAAGTGTTTGTTACGAGTTTTAAGTGTTGAATACAGTTTTTAAGTTTTACTTCGGTGGAATTATATTTATCCCGAACCCCAGGGCGTAGCAATATGTTTCTAATATCGTTTATATTCGTATTATTCTGTCATCTTAAAAGCTTAAAATCGTTACTTAAAATATGTTTTTCGTTCGTTTGCTGCTAGGAACGCTGTTCTAACTGCATACAAATTTGAGTTAACTTTTATGTGATCGAGAACTTTTAAAAAACTCGCACTAAGCACACTGATCTTCTCTTGCAATGCGGTTGCCAGCCATGTGCCAATCAAACGCGATCAATGCTGCGCTCGACTCCGCTTCTATCAATGAAAGTGGAATCCAGCGTTGCCAACTCTACAAGCTTTTCGGTAGATCTACCAACTCTTAGTGTCGTAATCAAACCTACCACTTTAACTACCAACTTTTGAAGTTTTCAAAAAGCTCAAATCATAACGCGATTCAATTAGCAAATAAGCAGGTTCGGTAGGCAGCGACTTGGCTCTGCCCCTGGCATTGCTGAAGTCCATGGGCGACGGTAACCACTCACCATCAGGTGGGCCGTATGCTCGTTTGCGTACAAAAAAAAAACTGATTGTAATTTTTAAAACGTTTCGATTGAACACTATCAAAATGAGTGAAAGCGAAAGTGAAAAAGAAGAAAATTCTCCTCCTCGAAAATTAAAAAAGATTCATTACAATCAAAAACATTCTCAACTATGGGAAAAAGAAGAATATTAGCGGCCCGTAATTCTGTTTTATCATTATATTTCTAATAAAAATAGTTCAAATACGTCTTATCCAATCGAAAAGTAAATTAAGGATGCCAGATTCTTCTCGGAGGGTCTCTAAAAGACTTGAAAAGTTTTCATAGTAGGGTTTGTTGGAAACTACCAACTTGTAGAGCCATATCTCCCACCTTGACGAATTTCGAATTGGCAACGCTGGTAGAATCGATAATTAAGTTCGCTAATTATTATTTTAAAGTTTCATCGTTATTATTTCATAAACCATTCAAATGTACACACAATAAATCGTTAAAATAAAATATTCCCACATCGCATCGCGACATTGTTTGTTTGTTAGTGCGTCTATCACTTCAATTAAACAACTCTTGTTTATTTATTTTATTAAAGTGTTAATTGAGTGTTTCTTCCCGTGTCGAGAGTGTTCGGCCACGCTCGTTGTAAATTTTTAGGTTATAAAACTTCAGACGTAATAGTGATGTGCTTCGTTGATTTGTATCCTTTGTGATAGTAATTAACGTCATTTCAGAACTTCAAAAAGACACTATTGATAACTTTTGTTACACGGTAAGTGAATACCGAAATCCATAGACACAAGGCGCGAACCACTTCACATTTAAAAAGTTTTTGCATATTTTTTCGTATATGTGAAATTCAAATGTGTTTTTTGTTAATTGTTATATTTCATCTGTGTTCTACATATATCATATTAATATAGGTAATACATGAACAGTAAAAAAATCTAGAATTTCGGTCACTATTCAGTCCACGAATCGTGAAGTTTCAAATTATACCAACGGCATAAAAAGCGAATGCACATCATGAGCCACAAATCTAATATATAAAATTCTCGTGTCACAATGTTCGTTCCCATACTCCTCCGAAACCGCTTGACCGATTCTCATGAAATTTTTTATGCATATTCAGTAAGCCTGAGAATCGGCTACTATCTATTTTTCATACCCCTAAGTGATTAGGGTTGTCCACCCCTAACATATTTTTTTTATTTGGACATTTTTTTTCTGTTATAATGAGGTATTATGTGGTTGAATGAGGTTTTGTTATTTTTATTATAATATATTCCCTCATCGTTCACAGCGCTACATGCCTCTTTCATTCATTTACCACATCCTTACACACTTACAATAAGTTTTCTACACTAGAAACTCCCTAGAAATCTTATATATGGCAAAACAATGTTTGCCGGGTCAGCTAGTATTTTATAAAATTAACTCAAATTACAACCGCAGGTTGTCAATATCATTGAATATCGATCAACAATAGAGTCATAACGACGTATTGTGAACATTGTGTCACTAAATAACTCACTCGGACTCGTTTAGATGAATTGATTCATTTCAATGATACAATTCATTGCACAAGATTGAAAAGTACACTCCTTGAATAACTTATGGAACTATCTATACATTTTTGATAAAACACCGCTATGAGAAACTTTCAATGACTAACACATGAAACTTAAGAATAATCAAATATGTCAGAATCACTATTAGTCTTTTAGATAAGTTTTACATCGACAAGTGAATGACTGACTTAAATAAATGACTCACAGCGAAACTAGCTCCGTGTCTAGTGCAATAAAAAAAAAACTAGTTTGACAGCTATGTCAAGAGCTGTCAAAACTTAACGCTACCGTTGAAATGTAATAAATAAAATCTGTTGAAATGTTATTTACGTTTAGGCGTTTGAATTAATCTCGTATTGAAGGTTTTATACCCTTTAGAGGTGAAGGACGTTATAATTGAGTAGTACATAATATTATTTCACAGTCGTAACCAGTAATTGTAACATTAACGAGATATTTCATGTACATTCTGTGAAATAAGTCGATGGACATTAGTTTGAAGGTTGATTTGGTAATAGTAAGTAGACTAAGACTGCATTGAATGTCCTCCTTAGTGCTCAAATAAATGGATACGTAATATAGAAGGATAATATGTGTTTAACACAAGCAAGTCACAGCAACTAAGTCGTCGTGGCCTAACGGATAAGACGTCCGGTGCATTCGTGTTGAGCGATGCACCGGTGTTCGAATCCCGCAGGCGGGTACCAATTTTTCTAATGAAATACGTACTCAACAAATGTTCACGATTGATTTCCACGGTGAAGGAATAACATCGTGTAATAAAAATGAAACCCGCAAAATTATAATTTGCGTAATTACTGGTGGTAGGACCTCTTGTGAGTCCGCACGGGTAGGTACCACCACCCTGCCTATTTCTGCCGTGAAGCAGTAATGCGTTTCGGTTTGAAGGGTGGGGCAGCCGTTGTAACTATAATTGAGACCTTAGAACTTATATCTCAAGGTGGGTGGCGCATTTACGTTGTAGATGTCTATGGGCTCCAGTAACCACTTAACACCAGGTGGGCTGTGAGCTCGTCCACTCATCAAAGCAATAAAAAAATAAAAAAAATAAAAAATCCTAGCCGGACTTATAATCTTAACTAGACTGTGTCAAAAAAGTATAGTTATGTTTAAAATTTTTGTATATGGCAACTATATATATTCATTCGTTAAATTTATTAAACAAATTTTATTTATTCCACAAGAAAGCAATTCTTTTTGAATATGAATACAACCTAGCTTAAGAATTGTAAATTATTGATTAAAAGTACACGTAATGTGTTCTAATTTAGTATATTATTAACCACACCCTGTATATGTTAATACATTGTGTAAACTATCCCTTATCACACTCTAATAATAATCGGATTAGAACAGATTTCAATTTTATTTCGTACCTCAACGCTAATCATAAAATAATGTGGTAAAACAGTCATAAATCACGACCAATGAATTCTAATTAATGCATACAGCGTGTTCATTTTGATCCGTTAATACCGTGTGTGTTTTATATTTTTCTTTTTCTTTTCCAAAAAGCATTTTTCCAGGAGTATTTGCGATCCTCCTACGAAGACGATAAAGCAATGCACCTTCCACAGCAGTTTCTACATTACCCTTGGTTGACTAGTAAAGAAAATGCGTCATTAAATTCGCTATTTTACTCCTTTGTATAAGTTTTAAATAAATAAATAGAAAATCAAAAGAGTAACGCGTCTTTCACGGAACGTTCGAGATTAATTTAAAGTTCCAAAGTTCTAGAATGTTACGTACCAGACAGAAACCAAGCGAAGCAATATTCCATCGGTTCTCAAATGTTATGTTCTTAAATCAAAACCTTTCTTACAGCAACGCGAGAGGCGGCGTTTACGTACGCCATCACATCGGCAGGGGTCACCCATGCTTTGAGCATGGCCTGCGCTCGTGGGGAGCTGCCTGGTTGTGGATGTACAGGAAATAAGTAAGAAAAACTGCAAAATACAAACACTTTACTGACCCTTCAACATTCATTCATTCATCTTAGGCCTTACAGCCCAGGGCGGATCTTAGCCTGGTCCAGTATGTCTCTCCAGGCTGATCTGTACAGGACTTTCTCCTTCCAGTTCTTGACACCGATAGCTTTGAGGTCCTGCTCTATGCTATCTAACCATCAGAGTTTAGACCTGGCAATACTTCTGCAGCCCTATGACTTGCTATATAGTAGTTCTCTCGGCATTCTGATCTCTTCCATTCGCACTACATGTCGTACCCATCGTAAGCGTCCAATTTCTATAGTTTTTATGATATTAGAAATTAATTAATTTAACATTAATGCCAAAACTTAATTGCAAAATGAGGTCGCATTTATCATATATTGTTTTAATACGTTGTTTTTTTCATTACGTAATATAAAGTAACAACAACAACAACAATCGTTGATAGCGTAAGGGGCTATTCCAACAATGCGGGGAAGCTAAGGTGAGCTTACGGGCTCTAGCACTGGATCGGAATTGCGACTTGCGAACTGCTTCCGGGCAGAAATATTTACGGATTCCTAATATCAGTAATTACTTGGAAGCCGTCCTTGAATACATTATAATTATGAGCTGATGCACAGGCTCTATCGATTCGTAGGGACGTGGAGTGCCTACCATTTCACCAGATGGATTCACGTGATTAACGAAGTCACGAAAACGGAGCTTTTAATCGAATAGAATACGATATTATACGAACCCTTATTTCCGTGAAAAATTTTAACTTTTCAACACCCTGTATATCGGCAGCCTGTTATTCTACCCGCTATATTTGTTCAATAAACCATTACCTTACTTATTTTGATCTCTAGAAGGCGTACGATAAACACAATCGAGCAGTTCCAATGGGGCGGATGCGGTTCAAGTGCGTACGGCGCTAGGTTAGCCCGGCGGTTCTTGGACGCGAGAGAATTAGAACGAGACGGTAGAACCCTCATGAACCTCCACAACAACCGGGTCGGAAGGAAGGTGAGCGAGGTACAGCATATAAACTATTGCACGGCATGAAACCATATTCAAAGCAATAATAAGCTTGAATAATGAATAGATTTTGCGATTGCATGCAGCAGAGATGCGAACGTTGCCATGGATGTGTGGAGTAACGAGAATGGATAGAATACGGAATGAATATGTTAGAGGAAGTCTGAAAGTGGCATCTGTGACAGAGAAGCTGAGAAGTGCGCGTTTGGGATGGTATAGACATCTCGTCTTCTCGCATTAAAACTGTATAATCTCAAAACTTACTAATTTTACAGGAGAGTGTTTTAAAGGTTTAACGTGTGATATTTTTAATATTGATCATCTTTGCAATAATATTTTTTTGTTATTTTTTACCTGTTACATTATCTGTCTTTTAAAGTAAGATAAAATGATGTATTAATTTTGTTCATAGTAGGCAAAACTCAAAACGTGGGTAAACTAAAACTAAACTGCGCTCTTTTGACAGTATTTATGAGAAAAATTCTGCCGATACCAAATGATTCCGCATATGAACTCAATTTCGAATATTTTTGGAAATTGTACACTTTTAATGCGAAAAGACGATCTGATGAGACGAAATGATAATGAGGTTGGTAAGAGAATGTTAACTATGAATGTGAAAACATAGAGGAAGAGGTAAACCTAAGAAGAAATGGATGGATTGCGTGATAGACGATATGGGTAAGAGGGGAGTAAGCGAAGAAATGGTATATGATAGTGGAGTATGGAAGGAGAAAACATGTTGCGCCGACCTCAGGTGACTGGGAGAAAGGCAGGATAATGATGATGAATGAATAGATTTTGTTTGCACTAACATTTCTTCACTCTACTAATTCATTATCTTTTTGTTCTTGTCCTTATCCCACATTAGGTGGGTTCGGTGCTGCATGTCCTTTTAGCATGCTGCATAGGGATTTGGCATGAGTTTTACGAGCAGTCACCTCTATGACGTCAAACCTCCTTGGATTATATCATGGTTTTTTTTTTTGGCTTAGATGGGTGGACAAGGTCACAGCCCACCTGGTATTAAGTGGTTAGTGGAGCCCATAGGCATCTACAACGTAAATGCGCCACCCACCTTGAGATATAAGTTCTAAGGTCTGAGTATAGTTACAACTTCTGCCCCGCCCTTCAGACCGAAACGCATTACTGCTTCACGGCAGAAATAGGCAGGGCGGTGGTACCCACCCGCGCGGACTCTCAAGAGGTCCTACCATCAGTAATTACACAAATTATAATTCTTATAAATTATAATTTTTAATAGTATATCCTATGTAATGTGCCATAGACCCTTTGTGTCTCCTCTTTTGATGTTTCGTTAAACTTCATCCATTTTTTGGTTTTCTGCTTAGCATTTTACCATTATGAAGATTGATACGAAATTTGGATTTTCGTATATCAAAAGAAAAACAAAATCACGTTTTTCTATATTTTCGTAATGATTTCAACAAAAAAAAACAAAATGTGTGCAATTCACACGTGGTAGAAGTGAAGAAACCTTCCAAAATTAAAATACAATTATCCTAAACGTTTTAAGTATATGTAAAATTTTGTCATTAGTAAATAATTGTAAGGTAGCGCCCTCTGTGAATTGATATTTTAATATCACGTATAATCCTAAATTAAAATTCACTACAAGAGCTTTCATACACACGTTAGTATTAAAAAATCTCACAGATGGCGCTGTATTAAATAGAATGTATATTTCTGTCTCATTCTTTGCTGGCTTCATCCTACACATTTTTGTATTTGTGTCTCTTACCTGTCGTTTTTTCCGTTGCATCCGGTTTGAAATCACAACGATTCTAAAGAAGTTTTCACTTCAAAAAATCTATTGAATTATGTACAATTTAAATATTTATTTTTTGTTATACTTCTTCTAGTGCAGGTACACGCATGTATTGTAAAGAAATAATTGTTGCTATATCTGCTTTTAATTTTTTTTTGTTGTATTTAGTTATTAGTTACTCTTAACATTTAAATTTACTGTATGCATGTTGAAATTAGTTTTAATTCGGTTTAATTCAAATTAGGTTTAATTCATTATTATTTTCATTACTTACCTGAATAGCTGCTCAATTCGAGTGACTATAAGTGCATAGACAATTAAATGGCTTCACTTAAATTGAGACGATGGTGTCGATAACTAATTTTGCGTTGGATTAGGACGCCGTCAAGCCGGATAGCTTTTTTGCTTAGATGGGTGGACGAGCTCACAGCCCACCTGGTGTTAAGTGGTTACTGGAGCCCATAGACATCTACAACGTAAATGCGCCACCCACCTTGAGATATAAGTTCTAAGATCTCAGTATAGTTACAACGGCTACCCTACCCTTCAGACCGAAACGCATTACTGCTTCACGGCAGAAATAGGCAGGGTGGTGGTACCTACCCGCGCGGACTCACAAGACGTCCTACCATCAGTAACAATAGCTGGAATAGCTCTTTAGGATAGTTGATGTTCCGATGCTGGTACATGCATATATCCAAAATTTCATTTAAATTGTACGTGTGGTTCAAAAGATAAAAATCACTGCCATCAGCGCCACCTATCCGAATCCAAAGTAACTATGTTCGTCAGAGTGCTCGTGTCGCCCTTTATATGTGTGCAAAGATTCATATCAATTCGGCTAACGGTTCTCAAGTTGAAGGTGAACACACACACACAGTCTCTTTTATTTATAATATAGATACAGTCAAAGACATTTTGAAAGTTTCATGAATAACTCCACAAAGTTTTGGTGCGTCTTGTGTATAGAAAAGTAACAAGCTAACTGAAGAAATATGAAGAAGCGGGCTTTGACTCTACCGCATGCACGTGTTTTGTTTCTAAGAATTAGAAAAGACCCTACACTAAACTAAATCTTCTTTCCTGATTTTAATAGCCATTGAAGACAAATGTGGATACCTATTCAAATTGCTTACAATACAGCTTAGCCGATCGTTCTAACAGATCTAATTCTCCGAAATATTAGTTAAATGTGGTCGTTTTATGAGGTATGTCGTTATTAGCAATGTCGTATAAAGCAATGTTTCTAATAAGGCGGTCATATAGCATTCAGCCGGGACCTTTATTCTAGGTTATTATAACCGGCAGGTTGTTCTAAACGATGTCGCAGTAAACGGTTTTGACTGTAGTTCACTTTACTTCGTTCCCAAAACATAAATCAAAGCCCATTTATTATTTTAAGACATTGAATGATAGAGCAAAGCCGTGAGCAGCAAAGCGATGTAATTACAGAATAATACACCACTAAAAGTACCAATCATAGGTAATTACTGAGAAAACTATACACGCGGGTGTTTCTAAAGTTACTCAAGACGTTTCTAGAAATGATTGTCCTGGGTTGCCCGTACTGAAAAATAGTATTTAATGGTAGAATTTCGGAATCTAATGGAATGGTAGAATTGGGATCATGTTATACCTTAAAAAAATATGAAATATAGTATGGCGTTTATATTTATATTATTGTTGCTTCATAACCGTTATCGTCTTACGTCTTAATTGATCGTGAGTGGTTACCGTCGTCCAAGGGCGCTGACAATGGTATGCCAAAGTATAGAAACAAATGCGATTAAAAATTATCGGAGAATGTGCAGCAGCATCAGCATACTCCGACCGTCACTCGCTACCACACGGTGGCTACCTATTTTTGTTGCGAATCAATCAAGCTTTGAAGCTTGAAGGGTGTGACAGTCTATCTATATATTAATACGTGAAGCAAAAACTTTGTATCCCTTTTTACGAAAATTGCGCGGACGGAGGAGTATGAAATTTTCCACACTTATAGAGAATATAGAGAAGAAGTGCACAATGCTAATATTTTTTAAAAATAATGCATAAAAGATACATTAAATCAATAAAGAAAACATTACGCACACTACATACCATGTATTTGACGCACACACGTATGCATAGTATTTATTGTCAAACTTTTGTTCTTGACGTCTGTGGTCAAATTGAGAATAGATTAAATATTGTTTGTCTTTATTAATATTTTTTATGGTGTAGCCTTGGCGAAATTTGTGATTATAGAAGTATAAAATACAATCATAATAGTGTAGAAACTTACAATTCCAATTAATTATAGTCGAATTTCGACTACTGCGGGACCACTAGTTTATATTATAGCACACAACTGCGAATTCGTCCCCCGGTGACATTCACGCATTCACATTGCCTGAGTGTCACCAGTGGTCTATGAGCAACAGTAACAGCTTAACTCCAGGTGTCAGGAGAACTTGAACGTGAGCCTAACGGTATCTCTCCAGAATGCATATTTTAAGCCAAGCGCTTATCATCAGCCTCTGGCAATTTAAAGCAATAAATAACTTAGTGTTTGTAGTGTTTGCAATAAATAACTTAGTTAGTGTAGTTATTATTTATTTTATGAGCACATTTCTAATGTTTGTCCCTTAAAAATTCAATATCCGGTAATAAACCGATTTCAAACTATTTTAGTGGACTCGTAATGTGGCAACACCACGCCGCCGGCCCCAATTAGGGTATTGTGCAAAATGACAGGTTATAGCGCGTTCAGAAGCGCGTATTACCCGCCGGCATTCTTTCACGTGAGCATACGTCGGTTTTCGAACGCACTTTTAGAGTTCCGTTCTGAAAATTTACGCGCCTTTAAATCCCTTATTAAAATTTTTGAAATTATATCTAAAAGGACGAGCAAAGGGAATGACATGGAAACTGCCCGCCAGTTGACCAGGAAATATGTGTATGCGAATCAGTCCTCTAGATTTGAAATTAATATTACTTCTCCCAACCTTTATACCTAAAGCATTAAGCATTTACGTAATGCTCTCCGGGTCTTTGAAAAAAGAGGATGAATTCATGACTGTACCTACTCTATAAAAGCTGTGCCAGTTCCCAAACGTTCGAAATAGATGGAATGATGGTATCTAGCCGTCTCACAGTTTGCCAAGCCACCAATTTCTTATTCACTAGATCGTGTCATTTATAATTTCTCAGTTCTGGTAGGGCGTCTTGTGAGCCCACACGGGTAGGTGCCACTACGCTGCCTATATCCGCCACTGAGCCGTAATGCCTTCCCGTATAAAGGGGCCGTACCAGCCGTACACAATTAAAACTTAGACCTATCAAGGAGGGTGGCAGAATTCACATTATATCAATAGGCTCCACTAACTTAACTTGAATAGGACCGAGAGCGCTCGTCCGTCTAAACAGTAACAATTAAAATTAAACTTATTATCATAAACTTAATGTTTAATTTAGCTGTGCCCGCGATTTCGTCCGCGAAAAATTTAACAAAATAGAAGTTGCTTAAGTTATTGCTTGGCACATCAACTATCTGCCAGTGAAACTCCTGTCAAAATCGGTGTAGCTATTCCAGAGATTAGTCGGTACATACAGACAAAAATTATAAAAAAAAAATATTTTGCTATATGCACCATATTAAAAAGCGGTTATTATAATATTACAAACAGACACTTCAATTTTATTTATTTGTATATATTTTAGGACGTATGTACAGAACCTAGTTACTATATAAATTTTAAAACGGACATATCTCTTGATATAATGATAGAACAACCGAACGTCTCATTACATTACGTTTCAACTCACAAACTCACAATTACGGTTTTTGTTTTACGATTTCGAAACGTCGGCCATTTTGAAGTTTATATTTAGTTTAGCTTTTGTCCAATAGCTCGTTAATTTTTATAGACAGTATATATACATGATAAAAATAATTCTTCTTTTTCTTAATTCTTCTTTTTTTAATTCTTCTTTTGTTTTAGTAAGCTACATGTCTGTTAGATATCATAGATCGCTTTTTACTACATGCATATGAATATAACTAGTCAGGTCATAAGTATTGTCACACAGTAAAAACTTTTCTTTTAGAATGCTGGCCACAAAAAAGTTTATTGAATTCGAATTTCAAATTGTTCATGAAAATAAAAATGTATACTTTTAGAATTTTCACTCATTTTTAAATATGGAGTGGACGCTTAAAGAAGACCGTGTTGCATCGTTGCGGTTACGCGCCAATTCAAATTTTTAACATACTGAAAAATTTGAATATAACCAAAAGATTCGTTTATCGTACCATCAAACGATACAATGAAGACTCTAGTGTAGATGACAGGTCAAGAAGTGGTCGCCCTCGGTCTGTTAGGTCTTTAGCAGTGATAAAAGCTGTGAAGGCGCGAATTCAAAGAAATCCCAAACGTAAGCAGAAACTGTTGGCCCTTCAGATGGGGTTAAGCAGAACCACGGTGAAAAGGGTGTTAAATGAAGACTTAGGGCTTCGGGAATATTGAAGAAAAACAGGACATCGTTTGAATGCTCGTCTAATGGACCTGAGACTGAAGAGATGCCGCGCTTTGTTGAAGCGGTACGCGGGAAAAAAATAACGGGAAATTCTTTTTTCGGATGAAAAATTTTTTACCGTAGAAGAGAGCTACAACAAACAAAATGATAAGGTGTACGCACACAGTAGTGAAGAAGCGAGCAACCGTATTCCGCGTGTCCAACGAGGTCATTTTCCATCCTCGCTCATGGTATGGTTGGGAGTTTCTTATTGGGGCTTAACAGAGGTACATTTTTTGTGAGAAAGGTGTAAAAACGAATGCAGTTGTGTATCAAAATACAGTCCTGACGAACCTTGTGGAACCTGTTTCTCATACCATGTTCAATAACAGGCACTGGGTATTCCAACAAGATTCGGCGCCAGCTCATAGAGCGAAGAGCACACAAGACTGGCTGGCGGCGCGTGAAATCGACTTCATCCGGCACGAAGACTGGCCCTCCTCCAGTCCAGATTTGAATCCGTTAGATTACAAGATATGGCAACACTTGGAGGAAAAGGCGTGCTCAAAGCCTCATCCCAATTTGGAGTCACTCAAGACATCCTTGATTAAGGCAGCCGCCGATATTGGCATGGACCTCGTTCGTGCTGCGATAGACGACTGGCCGCGCAGATTGAAGGCCTGTATTCGAAATCACGGAGGTCATTTTGAATAAACTTTAGTGTCATAAGAATCTATGTTTTGTTAAGTTCATTTTGGTATATGAATGGTTACATAATGAGTAAACTTGTTTCAATTATTTTACATTAAACATGTGACAGAATTTATGACCTGACTAGGTATATACGGTACAAACACCAAAATATCATTTTTTACAATTTTTGTCTGTTTGACTGTTTGTTCCGGCTAATCTCTGGAACGGCTGGACCGATTTTCACGAGACTTACACTGATAGGTAGCTGATGATATAAGGAGTAACATAGGCTACTTTTTTAGACTAGTTTCGCCCCGTGGCGTCCCTTGCGGTACGACAATAACCGCGCGTAATATCGCAAGACTCAGCTATTAATAAAAAAAAATAATGTTTCCGAAGCGAAGCTAGGGCGGATCGCTAGTCTCAAATAAACAAAAACAATTTTTTATTTATATGTCAGTGACCACTGACCAGTGACATTGTGCAATCACTAATTGATTCTGTAATTAAAAGAAAGTCTACTCGTTGACCAGGTGGTAAAGGACCTAGTTCATCGCGAGTGCAAATGCCACGGCGTCTCGGGCTCCTGCGCTATGAGGACTTGCTGGAGAGCGCTACCGCAGTTCCGGACAGCGGCTGCCACCCTGCGGGACAAGTATAAGCGAGCGAAGCTAGTTATGCCGCACCCGCCAACGAATCCACAAGACATTAACGTTCGAACACACCTTGTAATAAAACGGTAAGATTTTATTTTTTTACTAGCTGACCCGGCAGACTTCGTAGTGCCTCAATCGATAAATAAAAGATCTAAACGTTTGTATAAAATAAACTTAAAACAAACAAAATGAAACCCGTCCGACGGAGGACACATTAAAGGAGAAACAAAATTGTTATTTTTATTTAATTCCGAGCATTTTTATATTTATCTTTTAAACCTTCTCTGGACTTTCACAAATAATTCAAGACCAAAATTAGTGAAATCGGTCCAGCCGTTCTCGAGTTTTAGCGAGACTAACGAACAGCAATTCATTTTTATATATATTTATTTATTTACACACAAAAAAGAAGACATAGTACAGAGTAATAGGAAAATTATGTACAAAGGCAGTGCTTATTTCTTTAAGAAATCTCTTCCAGCAAACCTGCGAGAGGATTATGAGAATAATAATTAAAGTGATGAGTGTGTGTAGAACAACTAAAATAACAAATACAACATGAGAATTATTGTAATGCACATACACATAGCAAATATTGTTAAACTTGAATACAAAATATTATAAGTAACACAGTATATACGAAGATTATAGAACAATGATCATTCGTTTTTTTTTTTTTTTTAAATAAATAAATAAATAAATATTTAATAACAATCACGCCACGTTAACTGGTCCCGTGCTAAGTTCGTAAAGAACTTGTGTTACAGGTACCAGATAACGGAAATAAACGTAAGATTTTTATTATATACGTACATATATTTAATATACATCCATAACCCTGGAAAAGACATTTATATTTATCATACAAATATCTTCCCTTGGCGGGATTCGAAACCGCGACCGCCTTGTGTAGTGACCATTCACTTACCACTACACCAGACGATCGTTGTTTGACCTTGTATTTAAAAACAGAAACAGACTTGCAAACTACTTTAGTTCACATTGCACAGCAGATTGCCGAGATAAGTTAATCATCTTAAGCAATGAGCCACCCGGCAAGGAAGCAGAGCTCACAAAATTTGGAACCACTTTTTCCCGTACGGCGCGATTTCAAGAAATCTTTTCTAGTGTATTTCCGGAACGCTTTCACATGCGCTTACTGATGGTAGGACCTCTTGCGAGTTTACTGGTGGTAGGAACTCTTGTGAGTCCGCACAGGTAGGATCGAAATTTGGTACACTTGTTAAGGACTGATAACACTCCAATATTAAACGCATTACTGCTTCACAGCAGAAATAGGCGGGGTGGTGGTACCTACCCGTGCGGACTCACAAGAAGTCCTACCACCAGTAAAAAAATTGCATCCAGCTGATCCCCGCGAACCTCAATAGGTAGTTGATCCATCCTGTGGAAAGCCTACCCACGCTACTAAAAGCAATCGAAACATGGAACTGGGTCTACGTTCTCGTATCTTAAGGTCCACTGACAGCAGACTATAATTATTTACATTTACTTCCTTCTAGACAAAAGCACCCAGGTCTCGGGCGACAGCCCAGGAAATCGGAGCTGGTGTTTCTCGAACAGTCACCTTCGTACTGCGAGCCTGATACTGCAGCAGGATCGTTTGGGACTCACGGAAGGATATGCAATAGGACGTCAAGAGGTAAAATGAACAAAATAATACGCTGCATATTACGAATTGACTATGATGACGCGTACAGGAGAATCTCAATGGGAGTACTGGAACTGGCGATGTGAGCGTCACTGCTCAAGTTGACAATGACTTCACGAAGTTCTTCGAAGTAAATCACGTTAGAGATACCATTACACAGGTCATGCTAATAATAGAATATGCAATTTTGAAAAGGGCACATGTCGCATATTTTGTCAAATACGTTTTTTCATATACATGTAGTTTTGAGGCTTACCTACACCCATTTTATAATAATTCCAGTAATTTTCAATTGCTAATTAACACTACATTATATCTCAAAAGTTAATATTTTAAAGTTTACACTGCTTTAGAAAATAATCAGTTTTTTTTTTCATTTCCTGAACATTTTACATTTTCAGAGATGTGCCCTTTTCGAAATTGCATATTCAAAAGAGATTTAAAAAAATCGTGGAAGTCAATCGTGAACATTTTTTAAACACGTATTTAATTGGAAAATTTGGTACCCACCTACGGGATTCGAACACCGGTGCATCGCTCAACATGAATGCACCGGACGTCTTATCCTTTAGGCCACGACGACTTAATATAGTACATCTACCTATCCGATTGGATCATAACCTCTATTATTTAGCGAGTTCGTGGCGAGCCCGAGTGCGGCCCTGCGCTGAGTACGTTCTTACCATGATATTCACATATCTTTACTAATATTATAAAGCTGAAGAGTTTGTTTGTTTGAACGCCCTAATCTCAGGAACTACTGGTCCGATTTGAAAAATTCTTTCAGTGTTAGATGGCCCATTTATTGAGAAAAGCTATAAATAGGCCAAATAACATCACGGTAAGACCGGACACGGTGAGTGGAGCACCAATAAAGTATGTTTCAAAACAGGGGTTTAAATAGCTCCTTAACATTCTGTAATTCAAAAATATTTTCACTTTCTACGTAAATGAAGTGGGGGTTAAAATTTAGCGTTATACCAAAGTAACTATTCCACGCGAATGGAGTCGCGGGCAAAGGCTAGTTTAGTTTATATTTCGACTGTTGCAAGCGCCATCATTACCGATAGACTAAAAAAAGGAATTAAAAAGAGGGTCGGCATATTTGTCTGTTTACATCCTACCCGCAGTCATCAGTCTACCCGTGATGACGGCGTTTACCAAACGTCCAAACATCGGGAACTAATCGGTAAGCAGACTTTGAACCTTCGGTCGTCTCTTCCAGGTGAGGACGGCTGCGAGACCCTATGCTGCGGACGCGGGTACAGCACGACCCGCAGCGTCGAGGAGACAAAGTGCCGCTGCCAGTTCCACTGGTGCTGCAACGTCACGTGCAGCAAATGCGTGACGACAGTGGAAACGCACCTTTGTAATTAGCTCTCGATTAACATAAATAAGAACACACAATAACGCTACATCATGAGACTTCCGCGCTGCCTACTCGGTGGTAGATTCTGCGAAGCACTGCTCTTGCCAGTGTCACTGTTAGCGACACTCCGGTTTGAGCCCCGTGAGCTCACCTACACACGTTAGGGTGAAGCTGAAATAGCCTCTCAAGGCTATCAGCATAGCTAGAGAGAAAGCTACATTATACTTGCCAATTTACTACGCAAAATCGAGTTACAGGTCATGTTCAACATATGGAGGGTAGAAGAAAAGAGTGGCACCATCTTGTATAGGGGACAAATTGAAAAAGTGTCCACTTCTAAACGTCAAGTCATTGTTGGAAGACTCAACGAAATAGGGCTAGTGTAGGAGAGATATAGCCGATTTAAACCGAGTGAAGTGTTTTTAAGTTTGAAAAACTTTTATTTTTCTTGAATTTTGTTGTAAAAAATATGCAGTATTTAAAATATCAACTATTTATTTTTATTACTATTTACTGTACAGGAAGAGATTATTTCCTTCTGAATTTAATATCCTACTTTAATAATGTTGCTTAGTGACAAAGTGTTACTCTGGATTTCATATTTCCTGAAAGTAGGTACTCATTGTATTTTTACTTTTCTAATATAAAGATGTTGTCAACTATTGCACTGTCGATTGCACCTTTATTTAAGGTGACGTCTGTCATGATACTTACCGTCAATTTGTCAATGTCTTGTATTGATGGTCACTGTTGGTGCAACTAAATAAATAAATAAATAGTTTATGAGGCTCTTTTTAAAATCTTTCCACTTGCTACTATGGCGCCACTTAATTAGCCCTCTTACAACGGAATCTTTTTAATATATTGAGACGGAGATCCTTACTTCTACCCTCCATATTTTAACGACTATGACCCAAAAGTATTGTGTTAATGGCGTACGAATTGACATTTACGTACCTATAAAATTTTAAGACTTAGCATTTAAAAAAAACGCCATATTGTAAAAAAAACTTGCCAACAAGTGTATAGCTTATAAGTAAATTGTAATGTTGTAACGAACCGCTATTTCCAATTCTGATAATAAACGTCGAAATCTATAATATTGATTTAAAAAAAAACTTCATTTCCCAGATTAACTCAATATTCGAAGTAAGCAGCGTATTTGCAAATACTATGTCAGTAACATAAACTATCCTGTACTCTGATATTTATACAGAGTAACCAAGTATCTGACGTAGACTATCCGTCCCAGTATGTTTTTATTATGGCAAGGGTATCTAGTGAGCCAGCACTGCCGCAAAGGGCATGGCGGCATGTGATATGGGCTACGATGTCAACTTTGCACCATAAATACACAAATCGATGGAGCAGTACATTTACCTGTAGTTACAATTACAAACAATATCGATTCACATCGGTGAATCCAAGCTCTATGAAAATTACAGCAATTATATTGCTATTCGTAAGCCATCGTCGATAGCATTGTAATGAAACTCACACATTCCTATAGCGTATTTATTAAATTAATAATTTTACGTGTATTTAATTAATGTATTTATTGTGTATTAAAATGTACTTAACGTGTTTACGAGACTAAACTTAAATAGTTACTGTTATATTATAAAAATAATTATTGTTATTATTCAGAACTTATTTAAAACCCCCACGCTTCGTTGTGCTTATCGCTAAGCTTCAATAAATTCATCCTTGTTGAAATTTCGCAAGCACCACGTATTATTAAATAACACAAGTACAAAAAAGTTCACTGAAAAGCTTACGATGACGTCCAAAGCTAATACTCAATTAAAATAAAGTAAAAAAAACATACAAAATACTAACAAAGAACGTTATTTTAAATCAGGGTTTTCATATCCTATATTAAGTCTTCAGATTACACAAGAAATTAAGATTAAAATTTAGAAAGATCAATCATATAACAATCTTAACTTTTAGTTTGGAAGTTTTAAAAGTACAAAAATAATGTACGCTAAATGCTACCAGCAATCTGTCTGCTAGTTTCTAGTTCAGACAGAAGACAGTAAAATACTGATTTTACAATACCATACAATAGGTACATACTTCAACCGTATTTAATTATTCACGCAATAAAAACAAAATATATTCAAACATGGATTTTTTTATGGCAATAGTTTTAACTATATGCCATTTTCATGTAAAAAATACATGGATTTGTAAAATGGATGAATGACAAATTTAATCAGTCAACCCTGTTTAAACAACAAAAAAATTGTTGTCTAAGTCACCACTAGATGACGTAAAAAAATGTTTTTGCTTAATTTCTCAATTGAATAACAGATGGCGATAAATACAATTTTTTTTGTAAATAGCTTCCTCATTAATTCACAAAGAGCTACGTTTCTTTGAAGTAATTACGGCTTTAAAAGTATTAATATTAATAAGTTTTTAAATTGATCTAATTGTGAAATGTATTCTTGGCAATGAATTTATGAATGAAAAAATCGATTTGCATTCGTTATGTCGTCCATTTGCTCCTATTTTTCATGCCTTAATTGTACATAAGTATGTTTAATATTTTTATGTTTTTTAAAGCATATATTTTATAACCAGCCTGCAATTAAACATTCCTATTATTTATTCACAGCGCACATTGTAATTTTTAGAAATAAAAATGTTCACTTTATTAAATGTTTTAATTTTTATCCTCAAAACATGATATTAATTATTGCCTTTAAGGCAATTTTTACATTCCCTTTCGTTCATATTTTATACGTATTTAGGGCTTCGAGTAGTGTAAGAAGCCACAAAACCTATTTAATTTCGAACATTAGATACTCTGTGGTTATAACACATAAAATCTTCTTATTTAAATAATACTAAAAACCTTCAAAAGATAACCTATATCAGGGCTTTTTGGCGGGAACGCGAGGAGTGAAGATGTGTGATTTGTTTTGTCTATTTAGTGTTTCTTCGGGTTTAAATGTGTAATAGCGGTGGTTTATTAACTGTTTAGTATCTGTGAAATTGTACAAATCTGGGAAAATGAAACACAGCCGCTGGACGTATCTTCTCGGGATCCTCCAAAATTTTATATATTATGTTCCTTTTTTTATATTGCTTAGATTGGTGGACGAGCTCACGGCCCACCTGATGTTAAGTGGTGTTACTGGAGCCCATACATCTACAACGTAAGTGCGCCACCCACCTTGAGATATAAGTTCTAAGGTCTCAGTATAGTTGCAACGGCTGCCCCACCCTTCAAACCGAAACGCATTACTGCTTCACGGCAGTAATAGGCGGGGTTGTGGTATCTACCCGTGCGGACTCACAAGAGGTCCTACCACCAGTGAGAAAAAGTCTCAGTAAATGACCACCAATTTACTGAGAATTTATTTCATCCTATATCATCTCATCTCATTTTATTTCATTTCATGCCATGTTGCATAATATTAATCAATTTCATTTCATTTCACTTCATAATACCATTTGTGGAGTGAATCACTACATTATCAAATTACTTTCTCAACTTAATTTATTTATATAAACTGTACCACGCTGCTAATTTAATTCATAGTTACACTGATATTAATAATGGCCAACTTGGACAGTTTCCTTCGTTTTTTATTAATCATAAACAGTAAATAATTAAAACCGCGAAAAATATCTTATTACTTGGCACTGGCTAATGCACAAACCGAACGAGCCACAATAAAAAAAAACGATAATCAGTAAAAAAACAAATTCGCCATTTGCATCAAAACGGCACAGACTATAAATAGGTATTTAACCTCAACAATCCTCAATCGTTTTTGTTTACCAACATCTACGCGCGTGGAGTTACAGTTTATCCCGATGACTCAACGATAAACTATCGACAACATGTTTGTATGTTTGTTGAATTGCACGTGAGCAACTGAAAATAGATTTTGAGCACGTGCTATTTTTGTTTACAGTTATACAATGTATTTTAACCCTGAACTAGAACGAGCTGTTTCAATAACATATTTTGAATTGCGACCTTCAACTATTTTTAAAATACAGATCACTGGCGGTTTGTTATTCTCTGTTAACCGACATTACAAAAAGAGGTTCGATTGCATTACTTGTGTTACCTCAGAACTTTTCTAAGTCAAGAAATATTTTGGGACTTTTACGATCTACAAAGGTTGGGAGCATACTGCTACCCAAGGATATCGAAAAGAGCAGTTTGACAAAAAGTCCCGTATGATGAGCCCGAGAATGTCCGTCACGCCTATGTTGAACCGTTTGTAAATCAAACCGTTGTGCCAGACTGTCGAATGCTTTTGCGACGTTGAAGAAAAGGGCTCCCGTATATAATGATTTAGATCGGTTAGGCCCTACGAGAATGTTCTCCGTGTAGCGGTGCACCTTTTGTACACATGAGTGATTTGAACGGAATCCGAATTATACATCGGTGAGAATGCCTTTGGATGAGACGAAGTCTCTGAGGCGTTTGTAGAGCAGACGCTTATACAGCTTGCCTAGACACATGTGGAGGCTAATCGGGCGGTAGCACGTCGGATGATTTTTGGGTTAACTGGGTTTATGTATGCTGATAACGTCCGCTTCTTTCCACACGGCGGGAACGATATAGTTCGTCATAGCGCCATTGAAAATAGATGCTAACATCACGATGAGTTGGGCGGGTAGAAGTTTAATAACGCGGTTAGATATACCGTCGGAACCGGGAGACTTGCGAGGACGTAGGTCTTTGATTAGGTCTTTAAATTCCATCGGGGTGAAGGATCGTAACGCGTCCGAGGGTGGCAAGGACTCTCTGCGTTCGACCTCACTATCTACTAATTCTACATGAACACTGGGTTTTCAGTGTATCGGCCAGCAGCTCTGCTTTTTTGTCATCATCGAACAACGCGAGTCGGCCTGAGGGGCCTACAAGGGGGCATAGTTACTAACGATGGCCTGAGTCTAATTCTGAAACTACTTCGATCGAATGTATTTTAATAATGCTATATCGAGTATATCCGGGCGATGCGCGATATTTAGCGGGTAGTGAGTCGGGATTAGCGGAGCGACGATATCGAAAGCGAGAACATCAACTAACGCGTCCAGGCGTCTGTCGTTGGGGGTTGTGGTATGCGAGTTCCACCTGATGTGTTTACAATTTACGTCACCCCCCAGAATGACAGCACCACTAGGCTTTACATTTAATGTATTTAATTCGAACAAAAAATCTACTAAAAACTTTAAAGTAGGCACCCCCCTAAAAAATAACTACATAAAGGATTTGTCTCGTTAAAAGTTATAGGCGACTTCGCTAAAAGTTCCATCGTTAACGTTTCAAAAGCTACTTTTACATTCGTACTTCCAAACAAATGTCACTTCGTAAACTTTTAATTGGCTCCACACAAAATTTTAACCGGTACGTAATGTATGTTCGCCTTTTATTAAGAGATGGGTATAGATTTTTTTGTGAGGGCAATTATAACCACTATTACAGACGGATGAACAGAAAATAGTATTCTTATTTTGTGCTAATCACCAAAATATTAGATAAAACTAGTAAAATATGTGATAAATTTACCTCGATTAAGTTTTAATGACAAAAGTTATTGCCAACTCGGCAGGCAATCTACGGGCTAATAGTTGAGCACAGACAATAAATTTTCACACCAGTATCGCTAACCGCCATATTGTGCAATCAGATCCGTCGTAATTCACAGCAAAACGGTTTCTATGCAAATCGGTGCCATCAAAATGATTAAATGCTTTTATCTGAGCATTTGCTATGTTCAAAGATTTATATTGTTGTAGGTTTTTGCATGTAAATGAAAATGATTTTATATATACAAAAAGGAGTCGGCAAAAACTGTGTATATAACTTACACCTAATTTATTAGAAATATTTTAAAATTGAATATATTTGAATATCTGACATGATGGCGTATTAGGGCCTTGAAGCTGTCAATGTGCCTATTTGAAGGATAAACAGCCGATAAAGAATACAACCAAGCTTTCTGTCTCACGTGTCAAGGTTGATAGTGGTGGTAATGAGTCCGCACGGATAGGTACCACCATCCTGCCTATTTCTGCCGTGAAGCAGTAATGTGTTACAGTTTGAAGGGTGAGGCAGCCGTTGTACTTTAAAAACTGAGACCTCAGAACTCATATCTAAGTGTAGGTTGCGGAATTTACGTTGTAGATGTCTATGGGCTCCGGTAACCACTTAACACCAACTGGGCCGTGAGCTCGTCCACTCACTTAAGCAATCAAAAAAACGACAGCGTAAATATATAGTCTCTGGTAACTGGTAACTAGTTAAAATGAAGTATAAATTGGTGCTAGAGAAAACAATAATGGAAAATAGTGATTATAGTTGCATTAATACTTGTACAGCTTTCTTTGTTTCTAAATTAAACGAGTACAAGTTGCATAAAAATTAGTAAAATTCAAATCGATTCTTTTCTAATCTCTCATTACATGTAGACAGGGAGGGCCTCACACAACAAATTTTGTTTAAATAAAGTATAATGGTGAGCGCATTCTTTGAGACTATATTTGAGTGAAGCCACAAAAACTACGAAATGTAATATTACCTGCCTACCTAACTAGGTATCAGACATGTTTGCAACGATTTAGATAATTTTGTAGACAGCGCCATCTAGCAGTAATTTTAAACACTAGTAAATTTCCAGTTAGACGCAAACAAATTAGTTTTAAAACTGAAAAGATCAGAAAATTGAGATTAAATTGATAGATTGAATCATTTTTGTTTGCTCGCTTTCATATAAATTTATTTTGTGAAGACATCATGCGTCTATCGATAAAAACTTTAGAATCAGCGGAGCAACAGAACCATGACTTAGGCGAGTGTCAACTGTCAGCTATGTTTTGATGAACATTGAACAGAGTGAACAGGCGATAGATAGATAGACAGACTTTGTTTTGGTTTTGGATTTGAACGCGACGATTTGTTTATTTTAGAATATTTATCTATTTAAATTGAAAAAATACAAACATAATGCCAAAACCGATTTGCAGTCAATGCGGAACCAACGATTCTATGTTATGGCGAAGCGCAGAAAACGGACAAATCTGTAATGATTGCCACTTTTCAACGGTGACACCGAAGGAATCAAAATTGGACAGCAGTATTAAAACCGATTGTGAAGACATTAAGGAAGACAAAGATAATGGTAAAAATGAGGAGTCTACGCCGGCTAAAGCTACCGGCAAGGGCACTAGGAAAAGCACTAGATCAACGAGATACAAACCTAAAACACCTGCTCCACCGCCACTGAAGCAGCCGGCGCCGCGGGGCAGAGGACGCAGGAGTCTATTCAAAAGGCAGCCATTGAAAGCACCAACAGCTACAGCGACTGTTGTTACAAGTGATTCAGTATTTTATCAGGTCTGTTCAATTATTTAATCCAATTAAAATCTGTAGTTAGACATACAACAGCTGTAGAAATATACCTTTTTTTAATTTTTCAATAATCTTAAGGCTATATCGCATACTAATTATAGTTTAAAAACTGATTAGAGATTAATTTAATTTAAAAAACCCTAACTTATTATTCAAAGTAAACATGAAAACTTGAAAAATTACCTCGGTTCTGCTTTGAATAGTCTGTGGTAATTTTTTCAGGGTATGTACATGCAAGTTGGTGATATTGTTTCGATGACTGACATCGATGGTGGCACATACTATGCCCAAATTAGAGGCTTCCTAACTGATGAGTACTGTGAGAAGAGTGCAGCTGTTACTTGGTTATTACCTACAAAAGCGAGCCCACCTCCAGAGAAATGTTTTGATCCTGCTACATATATCATTGGTATGAGCTTTTAATAAATAATAGTTGAATTAGAAATACATATTTGCACATATTTGCTCTGAGTTTTGACATGTGTAAGTAAGTGATGGAGGAATTTAATCAGTTAAAAAAATATACAAGTACTCATTGAATCTAAGGTGGAATATAAATAATGGTATCCAAGGCGTTTTGTGTGAATTGTTTTATTTTGTAGTAATGGTGAATAATTAAATGTGTAATATCTATGCAAGTGCAGAAAGAGGGGAAAATGAAAGGCAAGTTGCTGCAAAGTTGGAAGTAGCATTTCTAAAAAGCCTGCTGACATTTCCAGTAAATTTCCATCATTTTCCTGGGGCATTATATAATTCCATTATCTCTCTTATTGTTCCTTTCCATTTCATGCAATTTCATCTTAATAGATTACCAAATAAACCAACTTCATTTAATTCTGCTTAATTTTTTACTGTGAAATATATAACAATAATATGCAATTTTTATAAACTCGACACTGGCAACAATAGCATCCTAAAACTCAACTGCCATTTTGAAGACAGAAAAAAAGAATATTGTATCTAAAAAAATGTGACAGTTAAGGTTAATATTGCTGTAAATTTTCAGGCCCTGAAGAAGAGCTGCCTCGGAAACTGGAATACATGGAATTTGTGATGCATGCTCCATCTGATTACTACAAAGCGAGCAACAGTCCATACCCACTGACTGATAATGAACTGAATAATTATACTGGTTTTGTATGGACTTCGATGGACGCTAAAGAGAGAACGTAGACTTTATTTGAGCAAAGTGAACATTTTGTTACAAAAAAATACTGTTTATGTCTAGTTTTATTACCCTATATACCCCGTAGTTAACATTTATTTAAATTTAGAGCACAATTTGAATTTCGGTATCAATCATTCAATCACACACATCATTCACTTTAATCATTCAAACCAACCAACATTTTTTTTCCTCCAGAAAATTTGGTTTAAGTATTCATAGTAGTAAGTAGTAACTATGCTGTTTCCCTAGATCACTGATTTTTTTTGCCTATCTTTCAATGCCTTTGAAGAAGTGGAGTGTATGGAAGCCCAATTATTTTCAGTTAACCTCTTGGGTATTGCATTTTTACCCTACCAAGAAGTTGTTCAAACTTTGAAAAAAGGATAGTAGTAAGTCTGTTGGCGCAACAACTTGTGTGTATGGTGGATGCAAAAACTTCCATCCATACCTCTTGTAGCTTAAAGACGGTCGATTGTGCCATATGAGGTTGAGCGTTGTCATATAGGAGAAGTGTGGACAATCGATTAAGAAGGGCCAGCTGGAGATACAAAAGCTTCATCATTGTATCCTGTTCCTCACCATACACATCTTTAATAATGGTGTTATTTGGTAAGAAGCTTTGATGAATTATACCAGAACAAGGCCACTAAACAGTGAACATGACATATTTAGAGGTAGATTTTCATTTGAGGCATTGCCTTTGTACTGATCCTCTAGTCCATGTAATGTCCGAGTGCAATAATTATTCTAGCGCCCTCTAGTAAGCGTGCATTCAAGTTGGACTAGGAACAAATCTAACAGATTCATTAAGAGTGCAGAGGCCGGTGCACCCTAAAATCGCAGCGCGCATCAGCAACTCACACACACCTCGCACCATAAGTAAAGTCGCCTCTAGTTCTGAATCAGGGTGTGCTTGATGACCGCTTATGATTATAAACAATAATCTATTTTTCATCGCAAATGACCAGCTTGATGTGACCGCTTATGATTATAAACAATAATCTATTTTTCATCGCAAATGACCAGCTTGATGTGACCGCTTATGATTATAAACAACATAATTCATCGTAGATGACAATATGCTTCAAGATACCCTAATGGAGTCGCGGTGACGATCGTTCAGTTCGTGTGGGGGTGCCACATATCAAGTTTTGCCCACCAACTTGACCCAAATGAACTAATATTATTCTGATCCTAACGTTGAAAGCTGCAAAATGTTTTAAATCAAAACTTCTGTGCTGAACCGTACAGGCCAATCGTGCGTTCTTTTGTAGTGTTCTTTCCGTACATATTCATTATTTCTTAAATACCAAACTTAATATGAGCCGTTTTGCGGCATTGCCACGGCGACGGAACTCTCCATATTCACTCTTCTATCGTGCACATATTGATGTAAGATACATATATTACAAATGTAGTGAAAACAAAACACTAATCAACAAACAACTGGATTTGAAAATAGAATGTCAAACTTCTCGGCATCCTCCAAAAAGTCCACTGAAAAAGTCTCAGTAAGTGACCACCATTTTACTGAGATTATTTTTCATCTCGTAACATCTCATTTCAATTCATTACATTTCATTTCATGCCATGTCTCATAGTAATCAACTTCATTTCATTTCATTATATTAATACAATTTTTCATTTTAAAAAAATTCATTAAAATTAAAATAAGACGACCTAAAGGTATTAGTTACCAAGTCATAAAAACCTTTAAAAAAAGATCAAAAGTAATCAAAACACCCGCTTTGACCAACTTGAAAATTTTTAAGTTTCATTTAATGTATTTCGTGTCTTCAATTTCATCAGAATAATAAATAAACACAAAAAATGAGTCGTAAGGAAGCTTTGTCCTCGTTTATACAGCAGATTCACGGTCGCCCAGTTGTCGTTAAATTGAACAGCGGTGTTGACTATAGAGGTTTGTTTTCCTTTCAAATTTCATTTATTAAGTTAGCAATAACAATCACTTCATCTTTTAAGAACCACCAAACTCTAAAATACAATTTAAAAAAATGATATATTCTCTTGAGTTTTATGAGATATAAAAATGGATTTGTTGGTTATGTTATGCGAATTATTTTACTTTGCCATTGAGCTCGAAATGATGCCATTAAATTAATGAAATTCAAACATTTAAAATTTTATATGGGCTTAGTTTGAAAAATTCATTTTAGTTTATGCATTTTAGTTTAATGTTTAAAATCAAACTTTATTTTTCCTAACACAATTAAAATTGCTGTCTTAAGTGGAAATAAAAGATTCTCTTAGTAAACGTGGCTTAATATAATACACAATAAGTCTTAAAGTATTTATTTTTCATAACTAATTAGTTATTATTTTAATGCAATGTGTTGCATTTTCTTAACATACCATCTAATTCAGTTAGTTTTAACAATTTCATTTTGTTTGTCATTAAGATGTTTGTCAGATATACTGCACTGTAACAACACTGGAAATAACACACACCTCTAGTTCTCTCAACACCTCTAGTCCTGTCTGAGGTTATGTTCGGGATACTGTTGGAAGTTATTGCATTGATGGTTGGACGCGCTCACAGCTCACCTGGTGAAGTGGTTACTGGAGCCCATAGACATTTACAACGTAAATGCGCCATCCACCTTGAGATATAAGTTCTAAGATCTCAGTATAGTTCAACATTACACACAGTTAACAATATTATTAGGTTTGAATATTGTAGCAAGTAAAACACTTAAAACTTTTACTTCTAGGTGTTCTAGCGTGTTTAGATGGATACATGAATATAGCCTTGGAACAGACCGAGGAATATGTAAACGGACAGCTGAAAAATAAATATGGCGATGCATTCATACGTGGGAATAATGTTCTGTATATAAGTACACAGAGGCGAAGAATTTAGTATAGAAAATACATGTTAGATTTTAAGGAATAAAAATTAAGTTTCTTTTGTAAGATTTTTTACTATCTGTTTATTGAAATCCTTACTTAGAAAACCTCCCAATTTACCAAATAATGTTCAGATACGCAAATCTAACATTAAACTCAAGAGCTTAGCCCGTAAAAGTATAAGCGTGTAATTTTTTATTATATAATGCTACAGTGTTGATGTTTTTGTAAAGTATTTTTTGGAAGTTTCAATTATTACACTACAATTACTGAAAATTGAAGAGATGATATACAATATACATAAAAAAAAAATCTTCACTTTGGTCCTGGTCTGGTACGTACCAACCATGAAACCAATATATGAATATAAAACCACAGATTATATCTAGTGAGAGCAAATGAATACTTATTCAATTATGTGCTCCTCTATAAGTGTAATAAACTGAAACTGGTTCTTGAATCTGAAAAAGAAATCGTCATTAAGAAACTGCAATAACGTAAGAAAACATATATGAATAATGCTCTATATAATCAAGACGTACAAGTTCATAAATGTAAAAAAAGGCTTTGTCTATGAATAAATCACGGCAGTTAACATTATATTTTGACGAAATTACGAGCATATGGCCCTCCTGATGGTGAGTGTAAAGAATAATTAAAAAATTTAAACAGAATGAAAAAATATATATACCAACCCCATTTTGCATGAAGTTGTTAACTCCTTTGCCGTTACCTAAATTAGCAATAAATTTTTCACTTCTATATCCATTGACATTTTTATATTCATCTATCACTTTTTTGTCCAAATTTGGTTCGAATTTTGCATTTACGCGGTAATTTAAAATAGTAGGGTCGTACAATGGCGCCCAAAAACTAGAATAGCCATTCACGTAATTAAAAGAGATTAAGATAATAAAACCATGGAGAATAAAACACAGATTATGTAAAACAAATGTTTTCAACATTTTGAACGTTTAAATTCTAAAGGGGAGTTTCATATATTGAAGTATTTTGTTTGCATGCACTGTTTGCTTTGATTTGTTTATACAAGAATAGTGGCAAATTTTGTAGTAGATCAACTTAATTACTAAATCGACATTTTTTTACTAACTTAGACAGGCAGATTAACCCAAGGCCCTATTTGATTCCAAATAATGATTGGATCCTCTCCCAGATAGGCGTAGATGCCGTCGCCTATCTGTTAAGTTTTCACGCATTTCTTAATCGATTCTGATGGAATTCGGTATGAATATGGTTTATACCATATGAAATAAAGTAGGCTATCTTTTGTCTCGATACTTAGCACAGACCTGTGCCAAATCGATTTAAAGCGCACTCCATCCAGGCGATACTGAGAGTTATTTAATTATACCATCCCTCGGTATCTGCAGACTTATTACCAGACTGCAGTATCTCAAGATGAAAGTCTTTGAGCCGTAATTAAATAGGGCAATAAGACATGGTCGATGCGCCTCAGAGCAGTGATGAGGGCGGTTCTTTAGCAGAAAAACTAGAACATTCATATATATAAGAGCTGACCGTTGGCAATACATCGACACTGCTTACTGCAGAGACACTCATTCTGTAGAAGAACTTCCTTCTACGATGCTTCCTATGAAGCTTACTCAGCGATACGCAGTGATGTGTCTGTGCCCTTAGAATTGTTGATCTCCATAAGCCATGGTAACCAGTGATCTCAGATGGGGCGTATCCTCTCGTCTGCCTAGAAAGGCCATAATATAAACTTTTTTCGAAATATCTGTTCAATTTCTAACTCATATTTTTTTTATTGCTTTGATTGGTGGACGCGTTCACAGCCCACCTGATGTTAAGTGGTTACTGGAGCCCATAGACATCTACAACGTAAATACGCTACCCACTTTGAGATATAAGCTCTAAGGTCTCAGTATAGTTACAACGGTGTACAAGTGCCTCACCCGTCAAACGCATTACTGCTTCACGGCAGAAATAGGCAAGAGGTCCTACCACCAGTATTAATTATCACTTAGCACTTGATTCGCTTGAAGTGATTTGTACTATGTCTCGCCTACGATGTTAGATAACAAACAAATAATATTTACCTATAATGACCGTTCAAGGTTCCTAACTTACAACCTTACGTTGTGCTAATGTTATGGTCATTATTTTTACTAGTAACGAATTTAAGAAAACAAACAGGTCTGGCGAGACTTCAACAACGTCTGCTGGGATTTACTTTGCTTAAAAAAATCACTTTCATCGCATTCAAGCTGTTTAATTTCAAAATAAAGAAATGAAAATGAGTGATACTGAATATATCACTAATGTTACGAATATTCATAAACCATTTGCAAAACTTAAAAAAAGACGAAAAGCAACAGGGACACTTTCTGTCTTGTTGGAAACAGATTTAACAGCAGTTTGTTGTTTGTACCAATTGAGTTTTGTTACTAAATTATCACCCTAGAAGAATTTTCATTTATTGAAATAAAACATTGATGTACATAGTTTTTCATTTTTTTATTAAAATATAAACAATTCAACATGATACAACTGATGAAAGTACCTACCGTCCCACTTACTTACTGCTTATATGATAATAACTACGTACTTAATGATAATAATATATTTATCAAAAATAATAGATATTTACATAATAAAAATATTGTCTATTGCAATTGGATATTTTGTAGAATGAATTGTCAAATATACAATTAACGATTTTGTTTTTCTTATAAACAAACATACGACTCATGATGGTGACGCTCACGGACATCAGCAAGACAGGGATAAAGTCAAGCCACTGTCTACGCTACGCTATGCTCTTCTCTGACCTCGCTTGAAGAAGGAATGTCATAGCGCTCAGGAAAAACCATGGTTCATTCCAAAGCCGAATGGTACGCAGCAAAAAGGATGTCTAGAAGCTTACTGTGGATGAATTCAGTGGTTCTATTGTAAAGTTAAAACTAATAAACTTTATTCTGCATGAACCTTATTAGAACTACATATTCGGAACGAACTATGCACATAATATGCTTTATTAAGTTTAATTACAGACTCCCAGTTTGTAACATTTCGTATCCTATTATATCTAGAGAGTTAATGTATGCCTTCAAGGGGCGAATAGGATTTGTACTGGTACAATTCTGGTCCTCCATATCCGTACAGCAATTTTCCTTTGCCGTTTTCGTCGTAATAAGGATAGCGGTAGTTAGGCCTGAAATAATAAAAAAAAACAAAATGGCGAAATTTTCTTTTCCCGCGTTAACGAGTCGTAACTTTAATATAACCTTAATCTAGTTTAATGTAATCTTGAAACGAAATTTAATACTATAAAAATTAAATTTTCTCTACTTCACTTCCTGAGTTCCATTCACTGGGATCCTAAAACGCTGGCTTAGTTTCCTCTTGTGAAAATGGAGGTATAAGTTATAACCATATAATGATTGTTGTATGGATTATGGCTATATTTTATATTCATAGTGGTATTTATATGTACTTACATATCAGCAAGATAATTTAATATAGCTATTATGCAAGTTGACCACATATACCGAGATACCATATTATATATGTCGGCGCAAATATGACTATTTACCTACTGATCATCAACTAATTACTCTGTGATAAGAAATTGATGTTAAACAGTCCCTTTTATTGTAATTTCAATACTTTAAAATCTTGTAAACACGCTCACGTGTTTAATACTTGTAAACACGCTGACGTGTACGAAGTCCTATAAATACGGCCGTGCTGTCTAGCGTTGATTCACTTCGATAAAGCGGCACGACACGAGAACCCTCTCATCGTGGCCGCCGGTAACTACATTCCCGATCCTGCGGACAGAATGGAAAGCAGTCGACGTCGCCCAAAACACGTCATCTCGGATCCTCCCGATCCACTAACGGTGCTTTTAGGTACTTCAAGCACCGGTCACCGTTCTCGTCGAACCCGTCGCTTGCGACGAAGGGCTCGACGAGTAAATTAACTCTCAGACACAGCCCACTGAGTTTCTCGCCGGATCTTCTCAGTGGGTCGCGTTTCCGATCCGGTGGTAGATTCTGCGAAGCACGACTCTTGCTAGGGTTCGTGTTAGCAACATCGTNAAAAAAAAAAAAGCGTTGATTCATTCGTGTCCGAGCCGTAGTACAGTACGGATCTCTCTGTAACGTTGTTATGCTTCTCGTGCAATATACGCAGTTCTCGTGAAGTTTTGTTTTGGAAGCCCAAACATGAGTCATCATCGAGAACTCAATGACCGTGACGTCAACAATGCTGACGTCACACTTTTTAAAAACATTCCTTCAGCGTTTCTCCTCCGTCATATATATACTGGTGGTAGGAGCTCTTGTGAGTCCGCGCGGGTAGGTACCACCGCCCTGCCTATATCTGCCGTGAAGCAGTAATGCGTTTCGGTTTGAAGGGTGGAGCAGCCGTTGTAACTATACTGAGATCTTAGAACTTATATCTCAAGGTGGGTAGCGCATTTACGTTGTAGATGTCCATGGGCTCCAGTAACCACTTAACACCAGGTGGGCTGTGAGCTCGTCCACCCACCTAAGTAATAAAAAAAAACAAAAAAAAATTGTCTATGGATAATGTACTAGTGTTTTTTTATTGCATAAACGGGTGAACGAAGTCTCGGCCTTCCTGTGTGATTCCCTTCTTCTGCCGCTAGGGGCGCTGTTCCAACTCCATACAAATGTGATTTAACTTGTACGCGATGGAGAAGTTGAAAAACTCGCATTAAGCATACTGGTGTTACCGGACCAATAGACACTAATAATGTAAACGTCGCCACCCACCTTGAGACATGAGTCCTAAGTCTTAATGCTATAAAAGTACAATGGCTCCCGCGTGTCTTTAGTACTGAGACAATACCAATCTGTTATGTGATCTCCGTACTTCCACCATACACACCATTCCTACCACAAAGCGATCATCCGTTCTAAATTTTAGTGCAAGGTATTCCAACTTAATTGAGACTAAACGAATGATTCAAGGCAATGCTCAATTTCAAAAATCCATACAGAGCCATCTATTAATAAACTAATGTACTAAAAAGTTGATTGATGAAACAGTGTTGATATTTTGTTACATTCACAATTCGTTGTGAATAATACGCTTTTTCAATACATACACAGTTAAGCAAAGACTGTGGATATATTTTCTAAATTAAATTTTTTATGATTACCTTTCAAAATATTGGAAATTCGGCGCCCTTGGTTGCGGTATCGTAGACTCTACAGTGATCAGAGAAACGATCAAAATGAGCTGGAATATAAACACAATCCATTAAAATTTTTATTATGCTTCACATTTATTATGAGAATATACCTAATTAAAATCCATTTTAGAATTCGGACATTAGAATTATTTTACTGCCATCTATTGACGTGTAGCATTAAATAACTTATTCTAGCAGATTATGACATTATGAAACTCTCTATAAGCGTTAATTTTTTAGTGAATGATGAAAATAGTGAAAATAACGCAATTTTCAAATAATATTTTTAATTGTAAATCTTAAAATTTCCGTATAATAATAATGTGTATCTCTACTTCAATCGATCTAATCGAATATCTATCGATATAATTCGATTTCAATCTATCGAAATAAATTGATACATCCCTTTTATATCCCTCGAACACGACACACAGCTTTGAAACAAATTTGAAAAACATTAAATTAACCCAACAAATTGTTGTTCAAATTAAATTTTATACACATACAGTTAAGATTGTGACAACGTAAATAAAAGCAACATTGACCTACTATAAAAAAACAGTTAAAACCTTAATTGAAAAAAAAGCTGTAAATACTAACCATTGCAAAGAAACATTTCACAAACTCCATCTTTAATTTGATTTGATTTTCCTTTAAATCTGGGTTATTTCGTAGCAACCGATAGTGTTGTGTGTACGTGCGTTATTCACGTTGATTATTACAAAACTGAGCCCGTAGTGGTGGTAATACCAGTAAGTGAAAGCTTGTATTGAATCTTAATGACCGCTCGCTTGTGACCCAGTCGAAGAGACTCGGAAATGGTTCGTGACAAGTTAGTCTATTTTGAAATGGCGGCTCTTAGTTTTAAAGATAGGCTTTATCATTTTTGAAAAAGGCGTTTTGAGTTACAACATTAAGAAAAATGTTTTTATTACGCGCACGTAGAAGAGAAAAAAAAGTGATTAATGTAATGAAGTTTAAATGTATACTCATTAAAGATTAAAAAAATTTAAATCACTTTTTTATATCGGACTTCCCAATTATTATTCTTTTTTTTTTAATTGCTCATTAGGGTTGACGACCTCACAGCCCACCTGGTGTTAAGTGGTTACTGGAGCCCATAGACATCTACAACGTAAATGCGCCACCCACCTTGCGATATAAGTTCTAAGATCTCAGTATAGTTACAACGGCTGCCCTACCCTTCAAACCGAAACGCATTACTGCTTCACGGCAGAAATAGGCAGGGCGGTGGTACCTACCCGCGTGTCGTTTAGGTCGTACCTACCTATATTTAATATAAGAGGTCATACCACCAGTAATTACCACCAGTATTCGGAAGTCGATAAATTTAATTTATATTATGGAACTATGGAACTTTAAGGCTGACCGACAACTTGGATTACTAGACTACTGACAGTTGTTTGAACTACGTAAAACGGTGAATTACATCATAAATTCGACAATAAACAAATGAATCATTAAGTAATAGCATACTTGCGAGCGTCTTCAATAGAGCCATTAATTTCTTGCGACAATTAATTTATAATAAAGGTCGTTAATTAAAATAACTTAAAGTAAGCACTTAATTACTAAAAAAATACGTGAAGAACTCAGTCAGAGACGAATTATTAATGTTTAGATTTTTTTCCTACCTATGCTGATAACCTTGAGAGGCTATTTCAGATTCGCGTTGACGTGTAGGTGAGCTCACGGGGCTCAAACCAGGAGTGTTGCTAACACTGAACCTAGCAAGAGCAGTGCTTCGCAGAATCTATCACCGGATCGGAAACGCGACCCACTGAGAAGATCCGGCGAGAAACTCAGTGGGCTGTGTCTATGGGTTAATTTGCTCGACGAGCCCTTTGTCGCAAGCGACGGGTTTGGCGAGTACGGGCTTAGGAGGCAATTTACGTTAGCTTTTAAACCATTTGTGTGTATCTAGATGGAGGTGGTCAAGTCCCTCAGACATGAGGAGCACTACAGCAGCAGGCTATGTCTGTAGTTAGAACTGATTAAAATCAAACTATTGCCGTAGATAAAGATAATGAACCACACGGTTTTTTTCCTACTTTATCTTTGGTAGCCTAGAAGTCACTACAGCTACGCGCGGACCAGGTGAGCTCACGGGCTCAACCTGAGAGTTCGCTAACATTGGCCCTAGAAAGAGCAGTGCTTCGCTGAATCTTCCAACGGATCGGAACAATGAGAAGATCCGGCGAGAAACTCAGTGCGTTGTGTTTATGAGCTGGTTCGTACGAGAATGGTGACTAGAGATCTCAAAAGCATAGAGTGGATTCGACAAGACATGTTTTGAGTGACGGCGACTCTGCGCTACCCCTACTCTAGTTCATTTATATGTATATAGAACAGAGATCACAGCGCATAAAATAAAACTATTCCACTGTCCCAAAATATTATGTTAATATTATAATTAAAAATTATCTAACACATTTTTCCGCCATAACCGTCGCCATCTACCCCCTCTCGAATAAGTCTATTATCTATGCCCTCTCCGTCATTATTTTTTCTCTTTCTAACCGTTTCTTCTCACTCACACCTTAACGCTCCGTTTCACACTCTTTCCTACGTTCCGTTCTTACCAATCCTACATGTCACAGCGTAAAAACCGCAACCCTGCTTGAGACGTGACATTCGCGACATAAATAAAACTATGGAGGGTAGAGGTAAGGAGCACCGTCTCATATGGGAGAAGCTTGAAACTGTCCCACTTTCAGCACTACATAACAGTTCAAAAATCCTCCAGAATTGCGCTAGCAGATGCACAGGGCATGATATGAATTGAGCAGTTGTTAACTGATTGAAGTATACTGAGTTAGGAAATTTAATATATTTAATGACTAGAGTAGTTAGTTACAGTGTAACATACAAGACCTCATATGTTTACGTAGTCCAAACTAATTTCGTCAATATAACCTAAAATTATTGCTGTGGTAAAACGTGGAGACATCGATTGCATTTTCTTATCAGCTTTAAATAAAATATTTTTTGTGATTTTATAGTGCATACAGTTCTTTCGTCCTTTTTTATTTCTCTATCTTATTCTAATCACATTCAGCGCCTTTTTTTTAAATTTACCCGGTTGCTACAGTAGCGCCACCCTTATTTAGCAGATATTAACGGACACTTTTTCACACACAGAGACGGTTCTCCTTACCTCTACCCTCCATAAAATAAAACAACTAAATTAATAATTTTCATTTATTAATTTATCACAGCTATAAACAAAACTACAAAATCTACATTCAATAATCTATTCGTACATCTAAATATTATTTAATTTAAACTTAACAAGGAATAAAAAAAAATTCAAATCATTCGCGTATCACGATATTCTAATGACAAACAATAATAAAGTCGTTATTTTTTATTAATTTTTAAATCGATTCAAAATCGATTATCCGTTTTACACGTCACTGAAGCATGAGCCCACTATGTATTATTTATGTAAAGGCTGTAAAGAATCGTGCCCAAAACAAAGGCAAACACTAGACGATTTTTTTACGATGGCAACAAAAATATAGGGTTGTGAAAATTAGAGTTTGCAATTTTCGTACTACACGTCTGTATGTATGTATGAATGTGTGTATGTACCTATGTATGTATGTACCGATCCGATACGAATACGTTCAGAGTCCAACTGATGCGCTTAGTGGCCGACGTCCTTGCATTAGGACTGACGGTCCACGAAAACAAACATATTAATATATATATATATATTTTTTTTTTTAATCCCAAAAAATTTAATTTCCCTTCTAATTAAAGGCACTCCTATTGATAACGCCTTTTGTCTTCAGGGAACGAAGTGACTGTTTGCATACAACAAAATGTTCTATTTGATTAGGGATGACATATAAATTTTTTTTTTAGTCACTTAAATAAACATGCATATATATATATATTTTTAAAACAAAAAATATTCGAATAATAAAATCACTATCACATTTGGACTTATTCTATATGGTTGTCAGCCACTAACCATTCTTTTTTTTTATTGCTTAGATGGGTGGACGAGCTCACGGCCCACCTGGTGTTTAGTGGTTACTGGAGCCCATAGACATCTGTAACTTAAATTTCTCCACCCACCTCGAGACATGAGTTCTCAGGTCTGACTTTTTACAGTACAACGGCTGACCCGCCCTTCAAACCGAAACGCATTACTGCTTCACGGCAGAAATAGGCAGGGTGGTACCTACCCGTGCAGACTCACAAGACATCCTACCACCAGTAAACTTGACTATCTTCTGTTTAACTTGCGTCAAAACATAAATCATCTATACAATATCCCAGGTCTTACCCAGAACTGCAAGCTATAATCTTAAACTAGATAAAATTCTTTTATAAACATTAAGATTTAAATTTTAATTAAGTGCTTAAGAAGCGCGCTTCGATGTTCGTTGATAAATATTACTATACGCGAAAAATAACAATAATAATGTTGCTAGCTTATAAACAAAAAAAAGATTTTATATTTCTCAAGTTTCCACAAATTTCCGAGAACAGTATTGCCAATTACAAAGCCGGTTTTACCGATAAACAATCTAAAGACTAGTTTCATAGATTTGCCAGAAATTTGAAAACAAAAATCTCCCATACATATTGGAGTATGTGCAGTGTAGATTCAAAAAAAAATCATCTATTCATTTATATATAAAACAAGCTATGCTCATTAAGATAGATTTTAAGTATTTTTATTATTTATTGCCCTTGTAGGCAGTCGAGCATACGGCCCACCTGATGGTGAGTGGTGGACCCCATCAAAACCGGGGGTAAAGCCAAGCCGTTGCCTACCGTCAAAAGTTACATAATATGAACAAAAATATTACAATTTCATATATATACATATATATATATATATATACCTAATATCTAATAATCGAGTTTTTATTACATGACTAGAAGGAGTACAGACAGCATACAAATGCAAACGAAAAATAGCATTATTTTTTTTATTGCACTTGATACGTGCCGGATGCGGTAGACATCACGACTTGAGACTTGAGGTCCGAGCCTCAATAAGTCTCAATCGTATAACGGTTTTCCCGACATCCGAAGGAAAGCAGCGGTGCATTCTACCATCAGAACCTCACTATACCAATTTAAAAAGCTTTCCTTAAGTTTAAATATCTCTAAAGAGGCAATTGTTCTTTTTAATATTGCCTTCGGTGTGTTTAGTGCGAGTTTTTTAACGTCCTCGATAGCGTAAAAGTTAACTCAAATTTGTATGGAGTTGGAACGTTTGCGTACGTTTGCCGCTAGGGGCGCTGTTTCAACTGCATACAAATTTGAGTTAACTCTTACGTTATCGAGAACGTTAAAAAACTCGGACTAAGCACTCAGATGTTCAATTAAAAAAGACGTCATACGAATTTGACAATAATCTAATATATAACAATCTCGTGTCGCAGCGTTTCTTGCCAAACTCCTCTGAAACGGCTCAACCGATTCTCATTAAATTCCGTGTGCATATCGGGTAGGTCTGAGAATAGATCAACATCTATTTTTCATACAACCAAATATTAAGGATGAATCTCTAACAAAAAAAATTTTTCCTAGAAAAACCATTTATGCCAAAACAACGTTTGCCGGGTCAGCTAGTAATAAAATAAAAATGGTGTCTGTATTGCCATCGCGGACACAAGGAGAAGAGAAGGATTTTTAAAGTCAAATTCAGATATTAATGTGGAAAGGGGTACAATTATATAATGTACCCCTTTTATACTACATACTACATAACTTATACAATAAATAATGAACACTATACGTAATAACAAATGGTCAAGCGTACATTGAATTTTTTTAGAGCTACCCTCATCTGTTCTCTTTACTCTAAGCTAAGCGAGAAAGAGACAGGCTATATAATAGAGTGCGACAAACGCTATATTGATCTGTGTCGCAACAACCTCACTGGCGACTCGTTGGATTTCCGGCCGTGCGCGTGAGGTCGGGCGACTGTCAGTGCCCCTGGACTAGGCCCATGATCTGCCGCTTGTGCCGCACGTAGTCTGCCGCGCGCTGCACGAGGCCGCGCCTCCGGGTCAGCATCGCGGCCGCGCGCTCGAACTTGTGCTGGTTCCGTCTGGGAAGGGATTCGAACTTTTAGAAGTGAAAAGGCCGAACTGTTTTTAACTCTTCGACTGCCGTGTAGGTCACAGGTGCCCTACGCGGCACACTGAAGTAAATTATGTTGATTTGTGTTACTAAGGCGCCGGAAGATGTAGTGGATTTTGGAAAATACGATTCCAAAGGTACCGAGATTGAATCTATTCCTAACAGATCCAAAAGACTAAAACATACATTACAACAAACAAAAAAGACAAAGTTAGGCAATCCAAGCGCTTAGTAACAGAAATCGACACAATTACTTCAGTGCGCCGCGTAGGGCACCGGTGAAATACTTTAAAGGCCAGTTAAAGGTCTAAAAGGGCCACCATTTTACAGAGGTAAATGTAAAATGACCACCATTTTACAGAGATTATATTTCATCCCATATCATCTCATCTCATTTCATTTCATGTCACGATTTCATATTAATCAACTGCATTCCATTTCATAATATCATTTTTCATTAAAATTAAAATGAGACTTGACTTAAAGGTCTTAGTTACCAGGTCATAAAATCCCTTAAAGAAAAAAAAAGAGTGTCTCTCCCCGACCGGGTCCTGGTGCGAGCACGGGGGTCCGGGGCCACGTGAGCCTCCCCTCACCTGATGTAGTCATTGGTGTCTGTGAGCAGACTGGCCAATTTCTCAGGGTCGATCTCGTCCATAGCGCACTCCTGCATCAGCGGGGGGTTGAAGCGGTAGTAAGAGCCCGGGGGCAACAGCTCGCTCACGACCAGGTGCACTCCTGACAACAAACCGCCACACTCGATTTAAAATCAATTCTTCAGGTCTCAAAATTACTTTTAAATTTCGATGACCTTTGAATCGTGTAATAAAAATTATGATTTACGTATTTACTGGTGGAACCACCCTGACTATTTTGGCGGCGAAGCAGTAATACGATTTTGTTTGAAGGGTGGGGCCCTTGTACTGTAAAAGCGTAGAATTTAGAAGTCTTGTTGATGTCTATGGGCTCCACATAGCACTACAACGCCCATGTGGGCCGTGATCTCGTCCAACCGCTTAAAACAATAAAAAAATTGACTTTAAATTAACAAGAAAAACTCCAAACTAGAAAATAGAGGGTAGTTTAGCACAACTAAAGTATTAGCGACCGATCCCATAGACATTTTTTTTGGTACAATTTTTCCTTATTAGCAAAGGCAAGGGGATCCCATAGACACAGCCCACTGAGTTTCTCGCCGGATCTTCTCTGTGGTAGTAGCTCTGCGAAGCACTGCTCTTGCTAGGACTAGTGTTAGCAAATTCTCTCAGTTGAGCCCGTGAGCTCACCTACCCCTCCGGATGTAGTTGGAATAGCCTCTTATGCTATCAGTGAATAAGTAGGAGAAAAAGTGACCAAACAAAATAATAAAGTAAATGAACAAAATAAAATAATTGACAACTTCACTTCTCGTGTCCCGCTGAAAATACTCCGCTATTATGAGGATGAGTCATCAGGGGTGTCTCCGGTCATCGTTCTCGCCGAACCCGTCGCTTGCGACGAAGGGCTCGACGAGTAAATTAACCCACAGACACAGCCCACCGAGTTTCTCGCCGGATCTTCTCAGTGGGTCGCGTTTACGATCCGGTAGTAGATTCTGCGAAGCACGGCTCTTGCTAGGGTTCGTGTTAGCAACGTCGTCAGGTTTGACCCCGTGAGCTCACCTACTGGTTAAGGTTACGCTGATATAGCCTCTCAAGGCTCTCAGCTTAGGTAGGAAAAAAAAGGGCTATCACTCGTACCTTCGGTATCAGTGGCGGACTCCAATATCTTGTTGAACTTCTCCTTCCAACTGGTCCCTGCAGGGTCCTTTGGCGCGCCCTTACTCAGACCCCTGTTCTCCGCGTGTTTGTTGAGGGCCTTCCCTGTTCCTACAGATATGATGGTGCCCTTCCTTAGGGCATCCGCTCCGTATAGTAGCCTGGCTTCGTGTATCCCTACCCCGGTAGGATTGTTCACCATAATACCACCATCCTGTGAAGGATACATCCTTATATATTCACAGTATTAACAAGGTATTTAAAGAAATAAGTTACTTATGATAATATTAAAATATAAGACATTTGTTGTTGCAAAAGTGACTGACTAATTAAGACTTCTTAAGGGTGTTTTTTGGGTAATTACTGAAAATGTATTTTTATTGAGAAGGTGATTTTCAGGAAAAGTATTTAATTGGCTTAGAGGCTAGTATGTGTCATTTAAAAAAATATGGTAACGTAGTATTGGTTTTCTTTAAAACATTTGCTTGAAAGAGATCGCTTTTAGTGATAAGACACATAATATTGTACAAATGCTTTATTACTGTTTTTTTTTAAATGTAAATTGTGTTTTGGTGTGCAATAAAGTGTATTTATTCTCTCTTGAAGATCTCTATATATAAAAATGAAATGCTGTTCGTTATTCTCGCTAAAACTCGAGAACGGCGGTACCGATTTGGCTAATTTTGGTCTTGAATTATTTAGGGAAGTCCAGAGAAGGTTTAAAAGGTAGATAGATATGAAAATGCTCGGAATTAAATGAAAATAACAATTTTGTTTTTCCTTTGATGTGTCCCCCGTTGGACCGATTCCTTTTGTTTGTTTTAAGTTTATTTTATACAAAACTAGGTTTTTTATTTATTGATTGAGACACTACGAAGTCTGCCGGGTCAGCTAGTTGTTAAAAAAATACATACAAAAGAATCAGTTTTAAAGCAATTTTTAAATAAAGATTTTTTATTATGAGAAAAATTACAGTTAAAAACGCACGCACGCACGCACGCACACACGCCCGGCCGCCCGCACTAACCTGGTGGATGAGTCCGTCCAGCGTGAACTCGTGGAAGTATGTGGGCGCGGCGGCGGAGGCGCGCACGGCCTGCCACAGCGCGGGGCGGCCGCTGCCCGGCAGCGCGGCGCGCACGCGGAACCCGCACGAGTACGAGCGGAACACGTACGGGCTCAGCCCCGCGCCCGGACGCACCACGCACGACACTAGCGCGATCTGGGAGGAGGAGAGGGCATCACTGCTTTACGGCACATTTTTTTTATTGCTTAGATGGGTGGACGAGCTCACAGCCCACCTGGTGTTAAGTGGTTACTGGAGCCCATAGATATCTACAACGTAAATGCGTCACCCACCTTGAGATATAAGTTTTAAGGTCTCAAGTATAGTTACAACGGCTGCTCCACCCTTCAAACCGAAACGCATTACTGCTTCACGACAGAAATAGGCAGGGCGGTGGTACCTACCCACGCAGACTCACAAGAGGACCTACAACCAGTACTTACGCAAATTATAATTTTGCGGGTTTGCTTTTTATCAGCTCCACTCTGTTTGCTTGTTATCAGCCTCACTCTGACGCGCTGCTTTTTATTTTCCTACCTATTCTAGTAACCTCGAGGGGCTATACTAGATTCACAGAACTGGTAAGTGAGCTCACGGGGCTCTGACCTGACGACGTTGCTAACACTAGCCCTAGCAAGAGCCGTGCTTCGCAGAATCTACCAACGGATCAGAAACGCGACCCACTGAGAAGATCGTTAATTAGCTTTAATATTCTGACCGGTATATAAACAGGGTAAAAGAAATAAAGAAGTCAAGTCTTAATCCGGTTCATTGTATAAACGTGTTTTTTTTTTAGTTTTCAAACTACCTACACGTGTTAAATTTATCTTTAAGAATATGCATACAATATAAATTTGAGATTGTTCAATTATTATTTTTTTCGAAAACATCGCCCATATTTTGTCTCTCATACCCAAATTTACATATCAGAGAAAGGTGAGGAATTACACTCTTAATGGTAAGTAAGAATTCGAGCCCTAAATTACCGAAGCAAATAACATCATGGTTCACCTACGAATCACCTCATTCCTGATTCGATCTCACAGAGAAACTCAGAGCATAGCTTTCTACTTTGCTTATTGGATGACCTTCAGATAAGATCGCCAATAATTTACCTTCGGCCTGTTGTACCGGTTGCACTCGGAGAGCGTACAGTTCCTGAGATTCTCCTGCAGCATCTTCTCCCAAGCCTCGGTGTCGTAGTACGAGTGGGTCCAGACCAGCCTGGACGTGCCTGTGCAATCAACGAATGGAAACGGTTATTCATTTTGTTTTGTATTTGTTGTATAAAGCCGACCCACATGGGAGAGGTTTATGCGTGGTGTGAGCAGTTTTAATTTCTATGTTTATTTATATGTAAACGTTCGATGAATATTGCTGTAGCGTCTGGTGATCAAGTTCACGTCCCACCTCGTTTTAAGCCGTAGGTATATTATATAGACATCCCAAAGGGAATTCTATTGACCAGCTTGAAATGTTTTTCGCCCTGACTGATGGACGAATTCACAAGGTTCAACCTGAGAGGCATTGATGACATTGGTCTTAAGCAAGAGCATTACTTCGCTAAACCTATCACCGGCTCGGAATCGCAACCCANTGGTGATCAAGTTCACGTCCCACCTCGTTTTAAGCCGTAGGTATATTATATAGACATCCCAAAGGGAATTCTATTGACCAGCTTGAAATGTTTTTCGCCCTGACTGATGGACGAATTCACAAGGTTCAACCTGAGAGGCATTGATGACATTGGTCTTAAGCAAGAGCATTACTTCGCTAAACCTATCACCGGCTCGGAATCGCAACCCACTAAGATTTTTTTAAGGGATTTTATGACCTGGTAAGTAAGACCTTTGGGTCAAGTCTTATTTTAATTTGAATGAAAACTTTTTTTTGTGCAAAATGATATTATGAAATGAAATGAGATGAGATGGGATGAAATATAATCTCTATATCTGTCTCTATAAAATGGTGATCATTTACTGAGACTTTTTCAGTGGACTTTTTGGAAGATCCCGAAAAGTTACGTTCGGCGGTTTTGTTTCATTTGCCCACATTTGTGCACTTTCACAGATACTAAACAGTTAATAAACCACCGTTATTACACATTTAAACCTGAAGCAACACTAAATAGATGAAATAAAACAAATCACACGACTTCACTCCTCGCGTTCCCGCCTAAAAGTCCCACCCACTAAGAAGATCCGGTGAGATACTCTGTGAGTTTATTTCTAGCCAGTTCTAGTTCTGTTAGTGCCTACCTCCGATGACCGAGGTCTTCCCAAACATCTCCTTTGACAGCGTGCGATACATCTGACTCGCGGTCTCCAGTGAACCGATGCCGCTGCCTACAAAGAAAAAAAAAGTGTATAATTTTTTTTTTTAAATTCGAATCCACATTTGTTTAGTGACAAATGAAAGAAAATTTTGAGTAGGTACATTTTTATTTTTAAATTCGAATCAACGTTTGTTTAGTGACGAATGAGACATAAATTTATGGTAATTTTTTTTTTGTTTTACAATTCGACTCGAACCTTTTGTTTAGTGACAAACGAGTCAGTGGTAGTTGCGTGTAATGATAAACTTACTTTTGAACTTATTCACAGTACGAGCGAAAAATAAAGATGGTATCTTTAAAAAAAAACACCTTTAAACAGTGAACCAAACTAACAATGAATTTCATTGTTTTTTTATTATTTATTAGATGGGTGGGCGAGCTCACAGTCCACCTGGTGTTAAGTGGTTATTCCTTCACCGTGGAAGTCAACGTGGAAGTGAGGTTCAAAGATTCCGTTGCAAACAAACACACACACATAATTGCGTGTTGATTACAACATTTTTAATGACGTTAGGGCTGTATTAATGTGTTAGGCACCACCATTCTGTCTATATCGTACATTGCGGTTTTAAGGTCGACACAGCTCTTAGAAGATTTGAGACATGGGCCTCCCAGATCAAGGCGGTTCCATTAACGCTGTTACGTGACTTAAAATCAGTGAAATCGACATCCGTCATGGAAAAAAAAAACAAAAAACACCCCAAAATACCGATAACAGCAGCGATGATGGCTCCCGTACTAACACCTATAATGTAGTCGAAGAGCTCGTGCACTTTCCTTCCTGTTATCTTCTCCAGGTGTTTTAGGATCTCTATGGCTATCAGACCTCTTATTCCACCTCCGTCCAGGGATAGGATGTTAGGGCCCGGTCCTTTAGTGGGCCCCGTGTACCCCACCAGAGCGAGGGCCTGCAATGTGAGAGCAATGCTTAACTATAACGGTGTAACGACGACACGAGATATGTGACCATGGACAACTTCCATCAATATGCCAACTGAGTTTCTCGCCGGATCTTCTCAGTGGGTCGCGTTTCCGATCCGATGGTAGATTCTGCGAAGCACGGCTCTTGCTAGGGCCAGTGTTAGCAACACCTCCGGTTTGAGCGCCGTGAGCTCACCTATACATTAGGGTGAAGCTGAAACAGCCTCTCAAGGCTATCAGCATAGGTAGGAAGAAAGAAAAACGAATCCATCTATTACAGTTCATCCTGCCTAACTCACTGGTCATTCATTTATCGTCAGCGCTTTTGATAGGCACTGCTAGGCATGGGCCCTCTCCTTTTTATGCCCTATGATCGCTCCCCCGGCTATATTCTCACCCTCGGCTACCCCGCTGCCCTGACCATGTCATCAGTCCTCGGTGCCATAGGTCTTCCGGGACCTCCACGACCTAATCTTCGCCACTATTCCGATACTGTTACTCCATTTATTACCATTTGGCCTTGCCAAGTATACCTATTATTAAAAGTAGATGATTGAGATGGGTGGACATGAATGGCGGGCGTTCGAACATTATAGCTTAAAAAAGAGGCCTATGCCCAGTAGTGGGTCCCAAAAGGCTAAAAAAGGCGAGAGAGTAAGAGTGTGAGAGAGTGAGAGAGAGATAATGAGAGTGAGAGTGAGAGATAATGAGAGTGAGAGTGAGAGATAGTGAGAGAGAGAGAGAGAAAGAAAGAGATATGAATGAACGTTTACCTCATTAACGACTCCTTTCACTTGTTTATCGATTTCAATTTCATCGTTTAATTTGTTTTCCACGCGCAATAACGCCCTGACCGCACCTTCCTGAAAAGAAAACCATATCAAACCGGACCTTTAAGTTTGGCGTTAGACAAATTTTTTTTTCTCCTACCTACGCCAAAAGTTCGGTTTTCGCCCCGCTGTACAGGGAAGAAAGTCTAGCTTTTCCTCCCTGGGTACTGACAAGTGCGCATGCGCGTTAGTGTCTACGGCTACTCTCACGCACCTAAAATTCTCCGCCGTTGTTGTGCTCAGGTAATTGCTTCGGCTCGGATGGCAATTTTACACGCGCGAGGAAACGTCCAGCTTTTCTCCCTTGCTGCACAATGTACTATATGATTGCATAGCTGAAGTCTAATGGACAATCACACGAGTCCGCCTTCTTGATGAGGCGGAGATCTATCTATCTATTGATTATATGTTAGGGTTGTCCCACGCTACAAACTGGAACGTACGCCTGCTTCGCGACAATAGACAGGATGTTGGAGCCTGTCCGTGCTTGGAATACACTCGAGAACTAGTAAAACCCGGTTCAAAAACAAAGACCATCAAACGAGTACTTTTGGCCCCGATGACGTCATACGTGGTTAAGAAACGTGGTCCTGTATTAGGCAAAGCGCGAGCGGCATTTTTCTTTATTTAATACCTTCAATACTGAAAACCCTGTAGGGATCTTATTAGTGCCTTTACCTTGATAGCGTAATCTCTGGCTTCAGGATACTGCGTTAGGTGATCTATGAAATGTTCCGTCCTTTTCATGAGGCATTCTGAAGTTTCAGCAGTTACGATCGCGGATATGACGTACGCAGTCCGAGAATGTATCGATGTCTGAAAGGGAAAGATAAAAATTTAGCTTCTTTTTTTTAGGGATTTTATGACCTGGTAACTGAGACCTTTAAGTCATGTCTTATTTTAATTTACATTCATATTTTTATGAAAAATGATATTATGGAGTGAAATGAAATGAAGATGATTAATTTGAGACATTAATCAACTGGGATGAAATTAAATGAAATGATATGGGATGAAATATAATCTCAGTAAAATGGTGGTCATTTACTAAGATTTTTTCAGTGGACTTTTTGGAGGATCCCGAGAAGTTACGTCCAGCGGCTTTGTTTCACTTTCCCACATTTGTGCACTTTCACAGATATTAAACAGTTAATAAACCACCATTATTACACATTTAAACCCGAAGAAACACTAAATAGATAAAATAAAACAAATCACACAACTTCACTCCTCGCGTTCCCGCCAAAAAGTCCAAATTTAGCTTCTTACGTCTTACTTGTCGCAGAACCGTCTATGCGTTCTAGGTTGAAACAGAGAAGATATATTAAGGATTCATGCCTCTATGGACTTCGGGAGACACTTAATACCATAACACCACAAATCGAAATCATATGACAACCGTGGCTTGTTACTTTTATCTTCGAAGGCACATCATATAATTACTGATACCAGATGATGTTGATTAGTTACTGTCACTTAAATAACTAATAGCAATAGCAGATCCAAAACGGCTGTCTATGGCAAAGAAATCTCTTCAAACCTAGTTCGATAAATATCATTAAAAAAAAGCTCTCGAAAACGGAGTGCCAAATTCGCCTCTGGAAACGCGCGGCGTGCGCACATGTATGCGTGATGTGGGCGATCAGTATTATTGGGTCAGCTGGGAAGTTCACTTTCTATTTACGTCGAGAGAGTAGCTAGGTCTATTTTGATGCGCTTACTTTTCATACGATCCCAATAAGCAGACGATAAGACACCTCTTACTCTTAGGAGGACTCTTACTGGTGGTAGGACCTCTTGTGAGTCCGCACGGGTAGGTACCACCACCCTGCCTATTTCTGCCGTGAAGTAGTAATGCGTTTCGGTTTGATGGTTGGGGCAGCCGTTGTAATACTTGAGACCTTAGAACTTATCTCAAGGTGAGTGGCGCATTTACGTTGTATATGTCTATGGGCTCCAGTAACCACTTAACACCAGGTGGACTGCGAGCTCGTCCACTCGTCTAAGCACTAAAAAAAAAGCTGCATATTAAAAACGGAAACATACCTTGGTAACAGTTGGCTTGTTAGACTTCCAACTTGGCTCCGATAGCTTGCCGAAATGCAAATCCTTTTTCAACTTCAACCCTTGAAGGAAGCTTTCGAATGTTATTTCCTTTGCCTCTGAGCCGATGCCGAGTCCACCGGCCTGCCTCTCGTCAGACTTTTCGGTTTTGTGAGTTTCCTCGATGGCGGTCGCTTTGACTCTAATGTCCTTTAAATTTATTACTTCTTGACTTTTATTTTGTTCTATTACTTGGACGGACAACGCTTTTTCTAGTTTCGTCAGGAACCCTAAAAGCGTAGATTATCAATTAGGATTCGTTAAAAGCGTGCTATTTTTCAACTATTCGTTATTTGTCTGTGCGAATACGTATATAAGGGTTTTTTTTGTTGCTTAGATGGTTGGACTGGAGCCCATAGACATCTACAACGTATCTGCGCCACCCACCTTGAGATATATGTTTAAGGTCTCGCTCTCTCTTATATGTGTAAGGTATAGTTACAACGGTCGTCATGGCCTAATAAATAAGACTTGCATCGAGTGATACGACATTACCGATATTCAAATTCCCCAGACGTGTTGCAATTTTTCTAAGAAATATTTTCCACGTTAAATGAATGTTATATTCTAAAATCGGTAATATACTTTAGATTATTTAAGGTTGGGCGTACTCTATAATCAAATACGGGAAGGCACTACCCTATCTGCAGCAATGCATTAATGCAATTCAGTTTTTTTTTCAGAATAAGAGAAGGGGACAGAAAGCATGTGAAATGATTTTTTTTTAATTATTACTGGTCTAGATTAAAGTTCTTTAACCAAACTTTCATGTATTCTTAAATACTATTTGAAATATTATTTGGAATGGAGCAGAATGGAATGAGTGGAGTTAAGAAAATGTTCCAATAAAATGGCGGGAATTTACTGAGAATTTAATGGACAGTTTAGTAGAACCTGAGAAGAGAGTGAGCAGAAGCCACGTACAGCGATATTAGTTTCATTTTCCCACGCATATGCATTTTTGTAGATGTTAATAAGCCACCATCCAACCCGAGAAAAATCAATTAACAAAACTATTATAAAACAATTACATTACCATCCACCACCACCACCCCGCCTATTTATAAGCAGTAATAATAGTAGAAGCAGTAATGCGTTTCGGTTTGAAGGGTGGGGCAGCCGTTGTAACTATACTGAGATCTTAGAACTTATATCTTAAGGTGAGTGGCGCATTTACGCTGTAGATGTCTATGGAATAACCACTTAACAGCAAGTGGGCTTTTTTTTCTAAGCTATAGAAAAAAAAACATTTCTTTTCAGTTCCCACCACATAAAAAAGTGTCAAAGATTACTGTTATTAATGCACTATATTTATTTTACTTTCAACTGTAATAACTAGATGTAATCTGTAATCATCTAAGTTCACCTGGGCCTTTGTTTATTAAATTAAATAATACTCTTTATCTTCTACAAAGATAACAGTCGTCAAATATTTTTGAATGATGATTAAATACATTTTCATATCAAAAAGGTCAACATGAGAAAATGACAATATTTGATTATAACGTAACGCAGTTTTTATATTATTTATCTTATCGTATGTATACATAAGGCGTGAAATTTATTTTCTTATTGAATAAAAACATGCTGTTTTCGTGTGACAACCACTTATTAGGTTATCGAAGACTTTTACTTTCTGCAAACACTGATATTTTTATCATAATCGTAAAATTAAATCAGTTCAATATTTCATATACAAAGTGGAACATAATATCAATATTTTGCTATCTATTAAAAAAATGATTTTTTGTATTGTATTTTGTAGTGTATTGTTTTGTATTGTATTTGTATAAAAATGTTGTTACATTTCAAATAATAAAAATAAATGAGCTGCTTTCATGACGTAACATATTATATTACATTGTAACTTATCGGATCGAGTGGTACTACTTGGCGCGTTTTCACAAATGATTTCCACGATCAATAAACAACATCATGTAACAAAATGATCAATTAATAATTTCTTGTGATATCCTCTAATAAAACAGCTATGCATTTTAGTTTAAAGGGCGGGACAGCCTTTGTTTAACACAACTGTGACTTGGGCCTTACATCTCAAGGTAGGCAGCATTGCAGGATTGTCTGTGAGCTCCGGCAATCAGCAGAGTCTTAAGGCGGTATACGAGTTCTTTTAGTCGTCACCATCAACCTTTCTAATTATGATTATGCATACAATAGAAAATCCTACAGTTCTTAAATTTAAAATGTCCTGCACTTACCACAAATATTACTAATACACAAAAACCAATTATGACATCACACATTGTGATCTATGTTTTTTTTTTTATGTGAAAAATATATTAAAATAATTAGTTTTTATTTAGTTTAGTGTAGAGTACCATTACCTATTCACAAAAAAAATTGTAATTTAATGTTTAATATTATTGTATTATCAGACTTAATTACATTACNAAATGTCCTGCACTTACCACAAATATTACTAATACACAAAAACCAATTATGACATCACACATTGTGATCTATGTTTTTTTTTTTATGTGAAAAATATATTAAAATAATTAGTTTTTATTTAGTTTAGTGTAGAGTACCATTACCTATTCACAAAAAAAATTGTAATTTAATGTTTAATATTATTGTATTATCAGACTTATTACATTACATTATTTTATTAAGATCATCTGAATAACATTAATATACTAATTGTTGTTGTTTTATTAGTGTCCTATTACATTATGAGATTAACCACAACTCCCACCACTCTCAAGATAGGTGATAGATTTCATGTCGTGATAATCTATGACTTCGGTAGCTACTTTGTATTGAGTGACCCATGAGTCTCAATACAGTAAAACTTATTCATACCAAGACCTGATTGACATGCAATTTGGAATATATGAATGGACCCAGAATTCTGTATTTAAGGCAGACAGTGGTACCACCTCAACATGGTCCAGCAACAGTAATGTCTCCAAAAGGAGCAATATGTTACTATTTAATATGTTTTATGTTAATATATTTAATTCAGTAAGTAGATCAATGCTTTCAAGGCAAACTTATCTGTAGATATATATTTTTGTGTATTCATGACTCTAAAGATATGATATAAAAGTTTTACATTTTTAGCCCATGAAAGCTCTGAAATATGAATAAAATAATTAAAAGTTTCAACTGTAAAACTGTTTTTCAACTTCATTAAAATAACTATACCTATCTAATCTCATATTATTAGCATTCTAATTGATAAATTAATCACATTATTATGGAACACTATGCATTGGCAGCTGTTTAATTGGCATTTGTAGGTGCACATTTATTTTGTCATTTACTTCTACTTAATATAGGCTAAGAAATGTTACAACGCTACACTTGGTCACATCTATTGTGGCTCTTTTTATTTTCTAAGTAATCAATCAATAGGGCTTTGGCAATCAAAAGAGCAACTATGCTGATGCATCCATGTTTTGTATTGTAAAAAATAAGCAGTATGGTGATAGCCTGTGAGAGCTGACAGCGTGATTTAATGATTGTCAATGGATGGTGATCAGTGTGCTGATTAAATCGCAGATATTTCCACTCTCCATTCACCTAATATTATCTCTGTTTCATTTGAGAATATTATCATTTATGCCCTATAAAAATTATGACTAAGGTCAGCTGTGGATGTCTAGAATACAATTTTGCAACTCAGTTAACATATGGAAAAGTTAGTTGAGCATTAAACAAACAAAATAAAAAAAAGCCTTTATTATTTTTTCATATTTGTTTTTATAGTTCCAAACTTTTGCAATGCAGCACATACATCTGAATTAAATGCTAACAATTCGCTTCCCAAGCAAAAGAACTAATGATAAGCACAATTTGTAAAATATTGAAATTAAAAAAATTAATAGTTGAAAGTTCACTTTATTCAGCCATTATTTTTTTAAAGGCTGCCAAATGCAAAGATTTATTCTGCATGTTTAATTTCAATTCTAAATGATCAAAAAAAAAGGAAGTATTTCACAAATATAATTAATTTAATGGATTAACTTGCAAATAGTTGTGATTAAAAAGATTTTTTATGCTCTGGGTATGTAGTGTACAAAAACAAGAATTTACCAATTATTGAGAACCCAGAAAACCTTTTCTAATATGTCAACGATTTTTTTTTCGTTTTAAGAAGTAAATTCCAAAAATAGATAAGACATCATGATTCTAAGTTTAGAAATAAATAGAACAAAAATAACTTACTTTCCCATTGTTCTGGTGTAACTGGTTTAATTTTTTGAATTAATTTTTCTGCTTCTGCATTCAAATTTGTTAGAGACAAATAGTGTCGCAGTACGCGCCACTGACCTCCGAAAGACGACATATTTTTCATTTTTAAATACACATCTGTAGTAAATAAAGACAGAAAAATATCCAAGAAAGTTATTCCAACACTCCACTAAAGAATAAATAGCAAAATATTTAGTCTAGTTCTTCTAAAATATTGTTTTTATGGTACACCACAATCAACAACAAATTTGACAAAACTAAAAGGAGTGCGTTCGCTTCACAACGTTTCGTGTTAATAACATATTTACGCGGAGTGCGAGAGCAAGCTCTCAAAACAAATATTTGCAATACGCAAAATTAAAACACCTAATCAGAGTCGCAAAATTTGTGACTTAAAAACACTGTGACGTCACTTGACGTCAAATCGTATGATCTTTTACTCTTAAATATTTTTTTGGCAAAGGTTTCATGGTTGTCCTTGACCCAAAAAAATACGCAAATAAATACAAGCTATTTAATGTGGTGTTACACAAATGGCCAATATCAGGGGTTAAAGTATGAAATTGCCGATTTGTGCTGAAAAATTTAAATTCGTTTTTTTTTCACTTAACATATTTATTTAATCATAATATCTACCATTATTAACTATACATTGCTGCCATCTAATAGGAAGGTCATTTATGCTTTTGCGATGGAACTCTGGTGATCTAGATTCCACAAACTGTGTAAAAACATTTCGTACTGCCTTTTTTTATTGCTTAGATGGTTGGACGACCTCACAGCCCACCTGATGTTAAGTGGTTACTGGAGCCCATAGACATCTACAACGTAAATGCGCCACTCACCTTGAGATAAGTTCTGTCTCAGTATAGTTACAACGGATGCCCCGCCCTTCAAACCGAAACACATTACTGCTTCACGGCAGAAATAAGCGGGGTTGTGGTACCTACCCGCGCGGACTCGCAAGCGGTCCTACCACCAGTAAAATTGCCTCCTGGGAAGAAAACTTTTATCGCGTAGAAAATTGTCCAAATCACGAAAAAAATGGTAATCCGTTGGAGCAAGTTCTGGCGAATATAGAATGAATATATATATTATAATATATATTCTGGTGACGAATGGTTTCTAATTGCAGTTCCTGTAGAGTTAAAACGGTTTCTCGTGCTGTATGAGGTCTTGCGTTATCATAGAGCAATAATGGTCAGGTAATGGTCTTCATATATCTATGAACTTTGTTCCCTTTGCTTTTCACGGTGGTTAAAAGAAAATAAAAAAATAAAACTTTCAAAACACCGATTGTTGGAAATGTTGGAATATTAATTCAAGGAATATCTCTCTAAATTCATAGCGCTAATTTAATTTTTAATCAGTAGGTATGTACTTTATTCATATTTTTCCTAGAACTCCTTTACATTAACAATTTACAAAATAGATAAATACACAAGGACTTTTGGCAGTATGAACTGATATCTGGAATCTAAATATTAAGTCGAACTACATATTTTAAAAGAGATCACGTTAACTAAAAACTATATATTTAATTGAAAATGAATCTTGTAAAGGTTATTTTTCCTCGAAATATCGTAAGTAATCATTTTAACTCAGAGCTCGCCAAATGGGTAAAATAAATCAGGACCTATTTGACGTGCGTTTGAAAAGAAAAAATTCAATACAACAAAACCACAAAAAACTTATTCGTTATTATACAAATGACTAATGCTAGCACAAAGTGTTGCTTGTTTAATTATAACAGGGGCACCCGGCACGTTACAGGGTATTTTAAAAATTCTTGAAGTACATAGGCCTATCTGTAGTTGCTAATATTTTTCAATAACATTTTTTTTATTTCAATGAAGATTTTTTATTGAAAATGAAAGAGTGAACTTTCTTTACAGTACAGATTTTACTCCATCAGGATGGAGCTCTCAAATTTGTTTCACTCTTTACCATGGTAAGTTCCTGTGAAAGTTTTTTTTTACTTCTCAAGTTGTGTAAACAATCTCAGAGACCACCTGGTGCTAAGTGGAACCAAAAATTCATTATTTTCTGGTTTCTAACATATTTTCACACTACTAGTTGCACACAAACAGCCCACAGGTTATTACCACTTCTGTATATTTCAGTTGTACATTAATCATATAGTAAGTGTAGATTAAAACATACCATAACTATTATTTTATCTCAATGTTTGTAGGCAATCATGTTTATCGGCTTCAGTAACAGCTCTGAACCGGACAAAGTGGGCATGTAGACAACTGCTGCAAATTTTTGAGATAACGTTTCCATTAAATATAAACTATTTTTATTTCAGGTATAAACCAGACTGGTGCTACCCAAGTATGAGTAAAGAGAATTACGAACTGTTAAAACAATGCAATGATTTGCCCAAAACTGAATTCTCAGATGACATTGAAGATATCATTAATAGGAGCAAGAATTTCTCAATTCCATTCCCGATTGAAAGTGTCAGGTAAATTATTATTAAAACTAGACATTTTGATAGTCATTATACTATTATGATATCACAAATTGTCACCTTTAATTTATCTTTCTATTTAAGACTACATATGTATTTACTTCTTCAAAAGACTCAACATTTAAACAAAATATAAAAATAAGTATTTTCACCAAACCCAACTATAATAACTGAAAGTATCAGAAATCAAGGCAGATTGTTTATGAATTCACTCTGACTACACCCAAACTCTTGCCGTAAGATTTTACATGATAGTGTAAAAGATGCAATTCTTATTTGCAAATTGTTATGTCATAGTTGAATTGATTAAAATGTTATTATCGACCAGAAGTGAGGTAGTTAACAAAAAGAAATAAATAACACAGAACTGGCCTAATTATATTTCACTGAATTAACAAAACTTCTAACAAAATGATTTCAATTTACTATTAACGAAAACTGTTAAAATTACATAAGTCCCAAACATGTTTCAACAAGAACCGCACACACGAACGCCACGCACAAAAAGAGGCAAAGGCGCAGCGAGGGATCGTTTTTATAGTTTTAGCGCTGGCTCTCGGTCGGGGGTTGCTTGGACTTGGTAACAATGTGGTATTTTAAAGATGAGATATTTTATAGACTAGTTTTCAAACTACAAACCCTTTATCTACGGGTGTTGTGAACCATTGACAGAGCTTTTTCTCTAAAGCAAGTGGGAGAAACATTAACCACCATCATTTAGGATTCTTTGCCATTCCTAATATCCTACTTGCCCCGGCAAGTAGAACCCTTTTTGTAGTTTTTAAAAAATGTACAAATTCATCATCATTCTTCTTACAGAATGTAGAAAATAAATACACTTCTGTTTCAAGGGCTGTTATATCATTATCATTGTATTGCTTTGTTTTGGACGGTCAACTTGTAAATAAAGATCTGTAGGAATTGGGAGGTATACGACGAAGGCAAGATCTTCCTGAGAGAGTGATATTGCTAAGTATACTGACGGTCCGAATTGTTGTTCGGAACTTGTATATATGCAAGCTTATTTTGAAAATATCAATCCTTTAGCTCACAAAAATGAAAAGCTGCTGCCCATAGCAATAAAAGTCTTATGTTGATAGAATTTCTTATCAGTACTTATAGCATTTGTGAAATAATTTGTTTAGGTTAGATAAACTGAAAAAACACCGACCCATTGATAGACTCAAGAAAAATATCTCAGGAACCTACCCAATTATACACGAGAGGATCTTGATGCTTTTGACGCACTTCCTATTGTACAAACGGTAAGAATGAAAGGAAGAAGATGTATAATAAAATAAATTGTATTGAAATTATCCACAACTTTCATTGCTATTCAGTCAAACAATCGTTTATCGCCTAACTTAGTATTAAGTGCCACCGAATCTGTTCTTGGCCTATGAGGTTTCAAATTTAATTGCACATTGTAGTGTCACATACTATTATCTGGAATTTGTCAATGCTTTATTGTAACAGTGGTACACTGTGAACTTAACAATACATCAAAATTTATCTTGCATTTATGTGAATAGTTTTCTTGTTATATCGACTATTTTTCTATCCGGAGGTCTAAATATTGTAGTAATATTTTTTGGAGACATATTATTATAAATTACAATGCTTTTAATTGAACTTAATTTGAAACATTTACTTTTCAGTGAATTTGGTAGTAGCATAGAGAAAGCATTTTACAAGGACATGACGATTCCGGAACTCATAGACAGATTGTTGCTGAAAAGAGCAGTCTCGTTCATGGGTGAATTAGACAGTTATTTATTGCTCAGTGGAGAATCTGGGTGAGAAAATATTTTAATATATTACACAAAAACAGCAAGTTAAGTTGGAACACAAAAATAAAGTTAAGTGTTGCCACAGCAAAAAAAACAGTTTTAACCTATGTTGCCATACACATTTTTAGCACAGTGCTGGTGTTGAGACTCCACTTTTAGAATAAGGTGAGGCACTCTTAGTAAAAAGAGGAAGTTTTTTGTAACAGTGAAATGGCTGGCAAAGAACTGAAGATAGGATAGTAAGTTACATCCCATAATCAAACCATTTTTTGGCAGTGAAGACGGATGGGAAAACGTAGGGACACTGCAGCAACGTCCACCATTGCTGCTGGAGAATGTATTGAGTTACGATGAGATGAAGCTATCAGCGTTTCTTTTCGTCAGCGGACCAACTGAATGTATTAACGACGGCTCCAGACATAACTCCGGTGTAGTTAAAGATGACGACATCGAACAAGAGGCAATTATTATAGGTATAATTATTTTCTTCTATTCCCCTGTGGCATCTCAGCATAGCTATATTTAATGTGACATTTCAGGCGCGATCGGGCCGCGTTTCGAACGTACCAATCGCATGGACTACGAGGACATCGTGATATCGAGCACACAGAACAGTGAGGAGCGCGGCTACGGCGAGCACGTGACGCCGACCACGTGTCTGCACGTGCTGCGACACACGTACACGCGCGACGCCAGCCTCGCCAAGCACGCCTGGAGGCAGCTGTGGGCCGAGCTGTACCAGGTCTGTACCGCTGTGACGTCAGCAGGTGCACGGACGCGTGACGTCACACTGACCTGCCCCTACAGGTGCACAGCTACACGTACGAGGAGCTGAGCGCGCGGCTCGCGGGGGCGGCCTCGGACCGCTACGTGAAGNGCTGAGCGCGCGGCTCGCGGGGGCGGCCTCGGACCGCTACGTGAAGCTGCCGCGGGGGGGCGCCTGGTTCGACAACGAGGTCTACTACAAGCGGATCTGCATCCTCGCGGAGACCGTGCTGCTGGAGGCCGAGGGGCGGGCTCGAGGCCGGAGCGTGTTCCTCAACGTGGTGGGCTGCGGTGAGTGCGGGGGGCGGGGGCGCGGGGCCCGGGGGGTGCACGGTGTGAGGTGTGACTGTCTGCTGCAGGACTGGGAGTGTGGAAGATATCTCCTCACCAGGCGGACGTGTACGTGCTCACCTTCCTCGACCGCATCCGCGCCATGCTGAAGCGGGAAGCCATCAACCACATCACCGATGTCAACTTCGCCTACATACGTGCTTCTGATAATGTCACTGGTAAGTACTGCTCATAGTCGTGTGGGTACCAGTGGCAAATTGTACCATGTTAGTTATTGTGGGTTCATAATGTTTGTTTTATTTTCCCAATTGATTTGCATTGCTTAATTTTCTTTAAATGTTTACAGCGTTATTCACGAAAACAAATGAAATTGAAAATTCAACGTCAACTGTCAAAAGTTTGTTTATTGCCAATAAAAAACACCCTAGAGGTAAGTTATTTGATCATTATCATATTGAACCGAGAGCTGCAGAAACTCTTTGAGGTTGGTAGCACTAAACAGCAAAAGAACTAAGCTTTTTGAAGCTACAAGCCTTGGGAGCAAGCAGCATATCTTGTGAATTATTAAACAATGCTTGGTGTAAAATACCAAGTATTATCTATACTTCTCTATACTAATATTATAAATATATGGGCTATAATCTTTTTAAAAAAAATTAGGGATCCTTACTAAAACTCCAATAAAGAAGTAAAAAAATTACCTAACATATTATTTACATCGCGTGCCCTGCGAAAACTATTGATGATAGAATAATCATCAATACAATAAATTTGTACTGGTGGTAGGACCTCTTGTGAGTCCGCGCGAGTGGGTACCACCACCCTGCCTATTTCTGCCGTGAAGCAGTAATGCGTTTCGGTTCGAAGGGTGGAGTAGTCGTTGTAACTATACTTGAGACCTTAGAACTTATATCTCAAGGCGGGTGGCGCATTTACGTCGTAAATGTCTATGGGCTCCAGTAACCACTTAACACCAGGTGGGCTGTGAGCTCGTCCACTCATCAAGCAATAAAAAAAAATGTATTACGACTTTGTAGAACACATTATTATTTACAAAAAGTGTCGCGACAGCATATGTCTAACTATTATGGTTATGTCGCTGTAAGTGTTCTTTTATTTAAAAAAAATAACACAACGTCAAATATCGTTGAAATTTTTGTTAAAGACCCGAGCGGAGCCGGAGCTGGCCGCTAGTTAACAAATATAGGAATTATATCATCACCTATGAAATTTTCTTTGAATCTTGATGGTTTGTACTGTACGTGCAGGCGGCGTGAGCGTGCAGCTGGAGGACAGGGAGCCGGCGAGTGTGCTGAGCGGGCGGCACCGGGGCAAGCTGCTCGTCCTCATCTACCCCTGGGACGGGAACGCGCACCCGGGGAACGAGTTCTGGTACGTTCTGTTATAGCGGGATTCGCTACGTAGATTTAAAAAAATGAAATACGAAATTATGGAGGTCCGACGACAGTCACGTGCACTGATTTAGAATAGGATAAGAGAAGACTTGACCGCTCGGGTCGAGAGGTTGTACCAGAGAGAGACTGTCCGTTTGCGGGGCGGACGGAACAGGAGAGCTCTAGAATGCTGATCGTGCAGCTTGGTTAGGGCTGTCAGCCAAATACTATTCATACTAGGGTTATAACAGTTCGTTTGGCTCTGTATGACGGGGCGGAATCTCAGTTGCGTGTAGATAGCGACTGTATCGTGCTTCTCCCCGTACATTTAAAACTACCAAGTAATCCGAAATAATTATTTTCTTTCAATACCGAACAAAGCTTAATGACTCGTATTTAGATAATTGTTTAAGGACCGGGAATTCTAAATATATCCCCAATTATAAGAAATTTGAAAATATGGACACCCAAATTTCACACGGAAATAGTTATTTATCATTATGTATGACACAAACAAAATAAAGTTATAAAAATCTGTATTTTTTAATGCCCACTGATACCTGTTGATTATCTGTAAAATATGCGCCCTCGGTGATTTTCAAATTTAGTATTGCGCCCTTAAGGACAAGCAGGTCGCCGACACCTGATTTATAGTTTTGACTAGATAATTGTTTTTTTATTTTTTATTTTTTTATTGCTTAGATGGGTGGACGAGCTCACAGCCCACCTGATGTTAAGTGGTTACTGGAGCCCATAGACATCCACAACGTAAATGCGCCACCCACCTTGAGATACAAGTTTTAAGGTCTCAAGTATAGTAACGACGGCTGCCCCACCCTTCAAACCGAAACGCATTACTGCTTCACGGCAGAAATAGGCAGGGCGGTGGTACCTACCCGCGCGGACTCACAAGAGGTCCTACCACCAGTAATTACGCAAATTATAATTTTGCGGGTTTCATTTTTATTACACGATGTTATTGCTTCACCNCCACCTTGAGATACAAGTTTTAAGGTCTCAAGTATAGTAACGACGGCTGCCCCACCCTTCAAACCGAAACGCATTACTGCTTCACGGCAGAAATAGGCAGGGCGGTGGTACCTACCCGCGCGGACTCACAAGAGGTCCTACCACCAGTAATTACGCAAATTATAATTTTGCGGGTTTCATTTTTATTACACGATGTTATTGCTTCACCGTGGAAGTCAATCGTGAACATTTGTTGAGTACGTATTTCATTAGAAAAATTGGTACCCGCCTGCGGGATTCGAACACCGGTGCATCGCTCAACACGAATGCACCGGACGTCTTATCCGTTAGGCCACGACGACGACAAAGACGAATATAATGATTGTAGGTTAGGTAGTTTAACGGGCTCGGGCGACCCGGCGGCCGCGTGCTCCACCCAGGTGGCGGAGTTGCACAACGCGCACGTGAACCCGCGCGTCGCCGCCGCCAACACGCGCGTCGCCGCGCACGCCGCCGTGCTGCCGCTGCGGGACTGCGCCGAGCGACCCTAGCGCCGTCCGCCGCGTCGTCCATTGCGCCGCGCTCTCCACTGCGCTGTCCAATGCGTGCTCTGGTGGATAAGCGGTATTGAGGTAATTAGGGTTTCGCTGAAACTAACGTCAGGTCTCCGTAGTATTCGTAACATGCATGTAGAGAAGGCGTACCTTTAAACCGGCTCCACACGTTGGCCCCAACGTTGCTACCAACGTTGAGCGGCGGAAATTAGGAAATGTCCACACGTTGGCTGTTATTGTAGTTCACTTTCGTCAGAGCCAATGCGAATATGCGCTTTTACAGTACCGAGTGTGTATAATTTATATTTGTTACTGAAAAAAAAGAAAAAACCACGTCAAAGGAGATGGTGGATGACATCGCGACATGCACACTAGACGCGTGTTGCAACAAGACCTGAGCAAATCGCCAACATGTGGACCGATCGCGAATGTTGGCACCGATTCCTTTGATAAAACCGACACTCGACGGCCAACTACCAACGATCTCTCAAACGTTGGGGCCAATGCTGGGACCAACGTGTCGAGCCGGCGTTATTGGCGGTCGGTGAACGTATTAACATCTTCAGTATGAGTTCTGTGATATACTAGTATTTTAATGGTTTAATTTTTTATACAATTATCATTAATGAAATATGTATACTGATTGGTAAAATATATGGTGTAGAATAAAACGTGAAGATTGACGTTTAGTTTTTATCATACGTCATATTTATTTAGTACATACATTTCAAAAATAATAATAATGTCTCAACAAGTTTGAGATCCATTTCGAATAAATAGAAATACAGCTTTATTTCTGAATTTTGTAGCTTATTAAACGCATAAGTTATTATTATTTTAATAATTATCTGGTTTTTATAAATCATTTCTAAATAAGTGTATTGTTATCTTATGTGTATAGCAGTATCTCGAATATTTTTTAGTTTAAATAAATAGTTTTTAGATCAACTTTTAGATTGGTTCATCGGATAAATCTTTAGTAATGTCGTTCTTGACAATAATGTGGAATCTGTTAACAATGTGAGATCATGTGAATATTTTTAATAAAAGTACATGGTATGCAATGAAAGATTTTTATTTATTTTAATGTCCTAAGTCTTGTTTATGATGAACAAAGATGACTAAGAAGTCTTTAAACTACATAAATGCTTATTAAAATCAGGTAACGGGAATTTAAGGCATGAAAAGAAAACAATCATGACACACATACTTCCTATCTGAATATAATATGTACGTATAAATCAGACAATATTTGTGTTTTTAAAGGTTGATCTGATAAATTAGATAAGACACATGAATAGATAGCTGTTCTAATGTGAATGATTTAAAATTGGGATTTGGAAATTTTTAAGGTATTTTTTGCCTTTTTTGTAGCACACTGCCCACCTTTTTTTTATTTTTTTTTATTGCCTATATGTGTGGACGAGCTCACAGCCCACCTGGAGTTAAGTGGTTACTGGAACCCATAGACATCTGCAACGTAAATGCGCCACACACCTTGAGATATAAGTTCTAAGGTCTCAGTATAGTTACAACGGCTACCCCACCCTTCAAACCGAAATGCATTACTGCTTCACGGCAGAAATAGGCGAGGTGGTGGTACCTACCCGCGCGGACTCACAAGAGGTCCTACCACCAGTAACCTACCACCTGGTGGTGAATGGTTACCGTCGCCCGTAGACGTCAGCAATGCCAAAGGCAGAGGTCCCAAGGAGCTGCCTACCGTTAAGTACTTTCCACAAGGTTTGTTTGAAGGACAGTTCTTTTTACATAATTAGTATGGGGATACTATTAAATCATTATTATGATAACCTTATAAAAAAAAATGTGAATTATATTGCGTGCATAGATTAAAGCATTCCTAAAGATTAAACCCTAGTGAGTTTTTAGTGTCTTCAGGGCATGTAATTCTCTATTGTTTAATAAATAAATAAAATGTAACAATATTATGAATAAATATACTTTATTATTAACATATTCAGTAACATTGTAAATATAATTATACTCTAATAATTGTACATATGTAAACAAATGAAATGCATTGAATAATATTCACAAAAATATATTTGATACTTATAGTACAGTAGATTGGGGGGAATAGAGGTAGTTAGAATAGGGACAAATCTGGGATGTCACAATACTTTTGTTGAGTTGTTAGAATTAACTTTATTGAGCTGAAAAATACTTTTCTTTAGTGTTTAAGATTATTAAATAGTTTAATTTTTTCAAAGTCAAAGGTTCGTAAGTCATTAAAGATATTAAAAAGTTAATTACCTAAAGTTAGGTACCTGCCCAACAACTAAATAGTGCCTGTCGTATCGAAAAACTATTGTACCCATACGTAATCTCATTCACCCCAGAGCCAAGGTGAATCAGGTCAAGCTAGTTTTTTCAGTTTTTGTGTATATTTTGTAATGAACTGTGTATAATAACGCATCGTATATAAAAAATTGAAGCCTCCGGAACCATTTTAATCTCAATTTTATTGGTATTACCCTAAAAAGGCTACATAAGATACGAAATTCATTCGGGTGTTTGTCTGTGTGCCTGTACAACAAAATCTCACAAGATGTTCAGAACCTGCATATACATAGGTTTAAGAAAACTATTAAAGAACATCTGTGCAATAAAGCTATAAAGTCAATGATTATCTAGAAGATTGCACAAAGTGGGAATGAGTTGCTCGCTCCGGGCATTTCAATATTGCAATAATTGTTACGTTATAATACAACTTGTAAAAATAAATATTTAAAAAAATAGACATGCCCGCTGAGTTTCTTGCCAGTTCTTCTCAGGACGGAGGCTAGTTTTTGTGAATTGGCCGTAGTTCTTTTTGACGTTCAACAAGTATGTACTTTCATTTATGTTGATTTTTTTTTTATTTGATTTGATTTGAAACAAAAACCATTGAAAATTCGTGTTGGGTTTGGTAATGGTCACTGTTCCCCCCAATCTACGGTATATCTACTACTATCACAAGTTTACATTTAGAGACCGCATTGCTAACCAAGCGACCTCGCGCGTTCCGCTAGCGGCGCCCCGCGTACGTCCGCAGCGGCAGCACGGCGTCGCGCGCGGCCACTCGCGCGGTGCGTGCGGCCGCGCGCGGGTTGATGTGCGGGTTGTGGAGCTCCGCGACTTGAGTCGAGCAGGCCGCGGCCGGGTCTCCTGAACTTTTCAACTTGCCTTTCCTAAAATTATATGTAGAATAAAATAATTTGACCGACTTTAAAAAAAGGCGTACCTAATTTTAAACGTATTTATAATTGCGACTAATTTAAGAGGGTTTTTCCCTTCGACAGTAAATCACAAACGTTTTATACAATTACAGAAGTTCATTTATGCGCGAAACCCTTAATTATGTATAAGTTTTTTTTTATTGCTTGGATGGGTGGACGAGCTCACAGTCCACCTGGTGTTAAATGGTTACTGGAGCCCATAGACATCTACAACGTAAACGCGCTACCAACCTTTAGATATAAGTTCTAAGGTCAGTATAGTTACAACGGAGTAGTAGTAGTAGTATAGTTACTACAACAGAAATAGGCAGGGTAGTGGTACCTACCCGTGCGGATTCACAAGAGGTCCTACCACCAGTAATTACGCAAATTATAATTTGACGGGTTTGATTTTTATTACACTATTTAAGTATGTATTTCATTAAAAAAAATACTCCATAGCCTCTTTTATCTTATCAAAAGAACCAATCTTTTACTTATGAGAAGGAAAGAGAGATACAATTTGTTAAGTAAAGATAGACGGGACGTACGTCCTGTGTGGGGTAGGTAATAAAAACAAAATTATGTTTATTTTTTTATATACAAATAATACATTGTAGTTTTCGTATACATTCGTAAAAATATAATCTATAGCCATACAATAATTTATTTACACTGCTTACAAATCTAAACACATTCACATATTTTGACTGAACAATAACACTAAAATTATGGGACAAAGTCACTGTTGTTCAGATGCATTTTTTTCCCTACTTATTTACTGGTAGCGTAAGTGACTATTCAAGCTACGCGCGGACTGGAGGTGAGCTCACGGGCTCAACCTGAGAGAATTTGCTAACACTAGACCTAGCAAGAGCAGTGCTTCGCTGAATCTCCCACCGGATCGAAATCGTGATCCAATGAGAAGACCCAGTGAGAAACTCAGTGAGTAGTGTCGATGAGAGACACATTATTAAAATTGTATTTAGATTAAAGTACAGTGTACACATGGGAATACAATGAAAAAAACATTAACTATTCGAGCAACAAATTATATTATAGTGTACATTCTAATATCCTGTGAAATTTTTCAAACGAATTATGTAACAACGGAGTCATATTTTAAATGGAATGTTAAGGATTCCACACTGCAGATAGAGACGTTTAAAAGGTGGGTAGTAAGAAAGTGTACACTATTCAACTACGTCATTTGGAGTTCATCCATAATACCTAGAACCGCTGCGATTGTCCACAGTTCGTCTCCACGCACATTCCGACTCTGGAACGAGCTCCCCTCCACGGTGTTTTCCGTACGCTATGACGTCATGTCCTTCAAACGAGCCTTGCGTGGTCAACGGTATTTCCGGCGTCCATGACCGACAGCGACCACTCATCATCCAATGCCGTTTCACGCCTTCAAGTCTTTTCCATTGTCCTAAACGTATCGACGCTTGATAGGCAAACGTGACTAAGCGACAATAACTGCTTTATACATAAATGATAGGCAATAACCATATTCGATGCGGAAACAAAATATATTTTGTAACGCAGCGTTCCGTTTCGCGGGGCAACAGTAGCCAAAGGGGATGTGACTCAGGTCCGTGCCGCGACGACCCACCCCGCGCTACCCGCGCCCGCGCATCTATTGCACCCCCTGGTAGTGCGCGCCAGACTTTGAAGCGGCAAACACGCGTCTCCGGCCGATACCGGAACTGACAACCCGAAAGTCTCATGCCAGTCGGGCACCCAACATTAAAATTTCTAGGTCTATTAAAATCATTTTTTTTCAGGTATTTCAACTTTAAATTAGTCTACTGTAATGTTCACGCATTGTCGCTTAGTTTTGCCTTTCAAGCGTCGATATGCTATATAACATCCTCTGTGGATTCAATCCGCTCTGATAAACTAAGGGACTTTTTGGCGGGAACGCGAGGAGTGAAGTTGTGTGATTTATTTTATTTTGTCTATTTAGTGTTTCTTCGGGTTTAAATGTGTAATAATGGTGGTTTATTAACTGTTTAATATATGTGAAAGTGCACAAATGTGGGAAAATGAGACAAAGCTACTGGAAGTAGCTTCTCGGGATCCTCCAAAAAGTCCAATGAAAAATCTTAGTAAATGACCACCATTTTACTGAGATTATATTTCATCCCATAACATCTCATTTCATTTTGTTTAATTTCATCCCAGTTGATTAATGTCTCAAATTAATCATCTTCAGTTCATTTCACTCCATAATATCATTTTTCATAAAAATATGAATATAAATTAAAATAAGACATGACTTAAAGGTCTCAGATACCAAGTCATAAAATCCCTTAAAAAAAAAATTATGAACTAAGCGACACAGGTGTGAGCGGCCGCGCGCGGTCCCGGAGCGCGTGCACGCGGCCGCGTGCGGCTACCCGCACCGCGGCTGCCCGCACGTGCGGGTTGACGTGCGCGTTGTGCAATTCCGACACTTGCGTGGAGCACGCGGTCGCCGGGTCGCCTGAACTCGACAAACTTTCCTCCCTAAAATATTGCGCACTTTTTGTCCTACCCTTTTTTTATTGGTTAGTTGAATGGACGAGCTCACAGCCCACCTGGTGTCAAGGGGTTACTGGACCCCATAGACATCCACAACGTAAATGCGCCACCCACCTTGAGATATAAGTTCTAAAGTCTCAAGTATAGTTACAACGGCTGCCCCACCCTTCAAACCGAAACGCATTACTGCTCCACGGCAGGAATAGGCACAATACGTCCTACCACCAGTAATTACGCAAATTATAATTTTGCGGGTTTGATTTTTATTACACGATGTTATTCCTTCACCGTGGAAGTCAATCGTGAACGTTTGAGTACGTATTTCATTAGAAAGATTGGTACTCGCCTGAGATTCGAACACCGGTGCATCGCGCAACACGAATGCACCGGACGTCTTATGCGTTAGGCCACGACGACTTCAGACTACCTAATTGCTTGTAGCTTAAAGCAGCTTCCAGATACTCACGGACTGGTAGGTGAAGTCACGGGCTCAATCTAAGCGAATTTGGTAACAACGGTCCCATCGAGAGCAGATCAGAATCGCGACCCACTGAGAAGATCCAGTGAGAAACTCAATAATGTCTATAGGTTAAGGTTGGATGACAAACTTTAAAAGTTCGACAAGAACAGGTGTGTGGACAGCCTAAAAGCACCGAGAGTGGAAGAGTGGATGTGGGGATCCGACAAGACGATGGGCGACGGTGGCTCTGGTACTTACTGTCAAGAGTGTATAGTGGTTATGCCTTAAGAGTTGAAGTATTTAAGCAAGACCGAACAAGCAAGTCCAATAACAATACTAAGATTATCCGGTGTTGATCTACCGGAGTCTACAGTCATCACAGAGTAACTACTATACTATATTAGTCGTACTGTACTATATTACTACCACCTATACTATAATACCCCTACTATGACTAACACCGTCGGTTCTAGCCAGAGGCAACTAAGATTGATTTCCACCTCCATATGTGGGGTGGTTGTATGTGTAATTATGGTAGGCAGCGGCTTGGCTCTGCCCCTGGCATTGCTGACGTCCATGAGCGACGGTGACCACTTACCATCAGATGGGCCGAATATTCGTATGCCTACAAAGGCAATTAAAAAATAAATAAAAAATGAACATACCAGAACTCGTTCCCCGGCTGCGCGTTCCCGTCCCAGGGGTAAGTGAGGACGAGCAGCTTGCCCCGGTGCCGCCCGTCCAGCCTGCTCGCCGGCTCCCTGTCCTCCAGCTGCACGCTCACGCCACCTGCCGGCACAGTACATATGATAATTTTTTTGCCTACCTATGCTGATAGCCTTGAGAGGCTATTTCAGCTTTGCACTAAAGCCGGCTCCACATTCGCGGCGCGAATATCCGCGAAGGGCGAACCGCGAGTGTGGATGGTTTCGCGACTTCGTGGCGTTCCCCGTCCGGTGGCGGTTTTTTGGCCCGCGACAAAGGGCCTGCGAAGCGGGAACGCGAAGGCATCCACACTCGAGTATGTTCGCAGATGTGTGCGAGACGCAGTGACAAGCGGACGTCATGGGTATCGAATGGAGTAACGATCGGCAACTAACGTTCCTTGAATGTTATCAATGCTGAGCAAGCCGTTTTGGCAAGCTCAACATGGAGATCATAAAACCAAAATTAAAGTACATGATGCATGTCTGAGAATTAGTGCAATCATGGAAATTCCTGTGCCATATTTAGAGAAGAAAAAGGATTCCTTAATGTCCAGCTACAGAACATATGGAAAACAAACAAAAAAAAAACATGTGTGCAATTCACACGTGGTAGAAGTGAAACCTTCCAAAATTAAAATACAATTATCCTAAACGTCTTAAGTATATGTAAAATTTTGTCATTAGTAAATAATTGTAAGGTAGCGCCCTCTGTGAATTGATATTTTAATTTCACGTATAATCCTAAATTAAAATTCACTACAAGAGCTTTCATACACANGCGTTAATTCCGCAATCTCTCAGGCCAAACAATATGATGTACAGCAGCATAAATCGCTTTGTTGTCATACAATTAAAGGCTATGTACATGGATGTAATACATTTAATAGAATTGCTAAAGTAAGCTGGCAGAGAACAATATTCTTATTACTAATTTTGCAATGTCATTAGTGTATAAGCAAACTGGTTTGGACTACCTCAAGCTAAGTAGCTGGATGTTGCTGTTTTGAGATTTTAAGCCTCAGGTCCTTCCTATTTCAAAGCGTAGGTAACATATTATAACGATAACGGTTTCCGCTATCGTGATCGTAACCAAAAAACCAGCAGCATTCTGGGGTTCATGCGAGTACTAATAATATCCTGATGGTTATAGGTAATAAACCCGAATGTGCTGTTTTGAGACACTGGGTTCATATACATACCCATATACCAGGTGCCTCAAAGCAGCGCAGATTTATGAATTAAATGTTTAAATGTTTTAATTGCTAATTTTAATTTTAATAACATGGTTCTAAGTATTATTCTACTTACAACATATGGACTTAAGAGGGTCTCAATTAAATGAATTTTATTTTATTTATTAATTTTTTTATTAATGACATATTATATCATAGGTACTGTATTTGATTACCGATTATCCGTTTGAAGGATGGAGCAGCCGTTGTACTGTTAAAACTGAGGCCTTACAACTCATGTCTCGAGGTGGGTGGCGGCATTTATTTTGTATATGTCTATGGGCTGCAGTTACCACTTAACACAAGGTGGACCGTGAGCTCGTCGACCCATCAAGACTATGAAAAAGTATTTTAGTGGTCAGCGTTTTCACGGGTCTTTTGTTCTGTAAACGCACGCTTTGCGAGATCGTTTGCTTCAAACGCTGTTTTTATGTTTCGGATAAATATATTGTTACGCCGGTAAGAGTAACGCCATCTATTGTCAAATAGCGGAAGCACAATACTAGAGATGAGTGGAATGTTCTCTATAATTCTAGGGATGTGGTATCGACTATAAAAGCGTTGCAGGGATGGAACGCAGTCAGTCAGTAATCGGAACTACTCGAAGCGAAACAGCGAACGGATTACCTGAAGCGAAGCGGGAGAGGCGAATAGAGAATTTTAAAGTGTTTTAAGTGTTGAATACAGTTTTTGGCTGTACTTTGGTGGATTTTTTTTTATTTACCTGCACCCCAGTGCGTAAAAATATTATTATATATATTAGGTCGATGTTGTTATGTTATTGAGCATTGTAACAACACGAGACATGCTCGTAATAATTTAGTAGCCCGTCACCACGGCTTCGGGTTCTCGATTCGAAATGCGTAGATGTTTTTTGTTCTAAATGAACGTGTTCGGATCTGTTATAAATTGGGTCGATGTAGCCTGAAGCATTATTTGGGGCATCATCTCCTTTATAAAGGATTGACGTCGCAGCGAATATCAAACACGTCTTTACTATTCAAATACTTATTTATTATACTCTTTTTAATCTTATAATTATACCACACGCCCCACCAAAAAAAAGGAGGTAGTTAAAAAAGTATCAGCGGCTCGGGCGCTACGTATTTAACTGGTTTTAGAGTTACATTGCCCAAAAATTATTTAATTGTCTATTGAACTGCACACTGCACTCATTGTTTATATTTTACTTTCCTTATATGGAGCATTGCGAATGCGCTGGCAGGGTTGCCATATAAAGGACTGACGTCGCAGCGAATATGAAACACGTCTGTACTATTCAAATACTTATTTATTACTTCTTTATCTTACCACACCTTTTTACCATTGTCATAACAACGTTTTTCTCACTACCTGGAAACGCTGCGTTCTTTGACAGTGTATTTTCAGAGATCATTCTTTAAACCGCCGGCTCTGTGTTGAGCTCCTCTAAACGCTCAACTCAAAAAACTACAAAATATGGCTCGGTGACGAATTTGCACATGGTGCGGTGTCCCTCAAATTGAGGATTCCATCTCCAGTTGGGCTGAATCGAGCAACTGCCCCTAGTAGATACTTAGCTTAATGTGTAAGTATACGCAAGATTTTTTTTTGTTCGGTCCGTCCACTTACACATGCAAAGGGATCGTGTTCCACAAGGACCACAAGACTAAAGTTGTAAGCTATAATTTGCCAAAGAGTATGACTCTATGAGGGAAAACCACGTAGATCTTCTGACATGACAAGAAACAATAATGACTTCTAATACTTGCAAAGGGAATTTCTTATACAATACCTCTTAGAAAACACGCAATCTTCCTGGACAAAGGCTTAGAGTCAACCTAAATAAGCTTAGTACGACAATGGGTTGAACATAAGCGACGTAACTGTGTAATTACGTCCCAAAGACGTCAGATAAACCATGCGCACCTGAAAAACGGGGTTAAGTTTCGCGCCCAAAGATTTCTGAGGTTTTAACAAGCTACGTATCACATAAAGGGTCGTTTACGGCTTAACATATTCATGTATTCATCCCTAAGCCTGAGGGTATCCTAACAAAAACTTACAAATTGTTTTCCCTTCGAATAACGTTTGCCCTTTGCCCTTAAGTTATGTACCGAATTTTTTCGTCGCTCTCCCCGCTTTAGTCGGTGACCGATGGCGTTCCTTATGCCACTTTTATTGAGTTTGTTTGGCAAAGGGCTTTCATTTAAGGTTATATATTTTTTGTTTGTTTACGCTCTGAGAAGATTATGTTGCCTGAATGCAAGCTTTGCTAAGCTCATTATCGTTACACATTCGAATAAAAAAACATTTGAATAGGCAATTTCGAAAAGGGCACATCTCGCATATTTTGTCAAATACGTTTTTTCATATAGGTACATGTAGTTTAGAGGCTTACCTTAACCCATTTTGTAATAATTTCAGTAATTTTCAATTGCTAATTAACACTAAAATATATCTCAAAAGTTAAAATTTTAAATTTTACACTGTTTAGAAAATAATCAGTTTTTTTCATTTCCTGAACATTTTACATTTTCAGAGATGTGCCCTTTTCGAAATTGCATATTCATTTGAGCAGTCGTTTTTTTTCTTTTTCTTATGATAGAAGGATTACTGGTGGCCCGAAGGCCTTTCCTCCAGTTTCACCAGGACAGGTGGGCGAGCAAAGGCTTAGCCAGGAGGGGTGGGATTTGCTAACAGCTACCCGAGCGCCTCCGAAGGAGTCCTAACAGCTCAAGAGTAGCTGCTTCGCGAATGAATCTACTACCGGATCGGAATTGCGACCCGCTGAGAAGATCCGGGGAGGAACTCAGCGAGCTGATTCATGGGTTAGGTTGCACGGCGAACTCTTTGTCGAGTTCGACGAGTACGGTTACCGGGGTCCCTAAGCCTGCTCCTAGTGTTAGAGCTGAAGGCGTCTAATGCAAAGCTTATTGGATCTGATGGATCCGTAAGGACGTGATCAGTCGTAAGCACAACTCTTGCTACTTATAATTATCTATTTATCTATCTTTCAGCCCACAGAAGACTACGGCTGGTCATAGGCCTCCCCAAGCCTTGCCACAATGACCAGTCCTGCACCGTGGTCGTTTATAAACAATTACAACATACAGACAAAAAACAACATGAAGACATAATTTTTAATACCGTCATAAAACACGAGCGTAGTTTTAGCGGGAAATTTATCTAGACATAGGATTTTTGAAAAAAAGGTTTTTTACATTCAAATGCAAATTAGTGTTTCGGAATTACACCTAACACCCAGTTGATATGAACGCATCTTGAACGCATTTATTTATCGCTGTAAAGTCCATTCGGTCACGTACCCCGAAATGGGATCACGTACTAAACGCATAATTACAATTGCGAGCGCGACCGATGCAAAAGGAAAAACGAAATTTAAAAAATAAACCGCCATTTTAATTCTTTTTTTTTTTTAATTTTAGTCTGGCACGTGATCAGATTGTGTTTTGGGATGTTTCAGTTATATATTTTTTTTATATTGCGAGTACGTCGAATTACTCATAACAATTTACAGAAAACCATGTTGTTGCGTCTATTTCTTAGATGTATCTTGAGGTGGCCAAGAAAATTAATAAATGCGTTTACTTCTTCAAATACTCATTATATTATTTTTCATTATTTTACAAATACAAAATTGAAATGCGCGTCCATCTTTTTTCTTCGTGTTATAATTTTTAAATTTTGACTATTGGTGCCACTGTTGCGTTTCCTGTTTTGTGATTGGTTCGTGCGATATGACGTCATCGTTGGCCAATCACAGCATTCAATGTATCACGCGACGTTGATTCGTTACCTAACACATGTAAACTGATATTTTGAGTCTATACGGTATTCATATTGTGAAGTCGTCATGCCCAAAGGTTATGACGCCCGCTGCATTCGTATCTAGCGATGCCACTGTGCCGATGTTCAAATCCCGCTGGCAAGTATATATTTTTCTAATTAAATACGTTGTTAGCAAGTGTTCATGACAGACTTTCACGAGGAATAAGATCGTGTAATAAAAATGAAACCCGCAAAATTATAATTTGCGTAATTACTGGTGGTATGACGTCCTGTGCGTCCGCACGGGTGGATACCACTCCAACTTTTTCTGCTGTGAAGCAGTAATTTTGGTTTGAAGAGTGGGACAATCATTGTACTATACTAAGACTTTAAAACTCATGTCTCGAGGTGGGTGGCGGCATTTACGTTGTCAATGTCTATAGGCTCAGGTAACTACTTAACACCAGGTGGGCCGTGAGATCTTTGCCCCATTTAAGCAATAACAAAAAATATGTCTGTGGTTTTAGTTCTGACGGATCCGTGAACTCATTTGCCTAGCATGTCCAGTTAAAAAAAGATGTCAGCATTTACAAAATAGCTTCAAAACGTGATATAGATTAGTTTAATTTCAGTTTTTTATTTTGTAAAGTCTATTTATAAAATACTGTTTAAACTTCTTTTGTGTACATCTATCGGAAATACAGATTTATCTCTGAACAAGTCCTACTCTGTGTACCCTTGAATGACAATAGTGTGCCAATCATAATAATCATAAATGAAATGTGCTTGCATTCACGCTTCCTACTACGTGCATTACAATTGAGCACACAATGAGACATTTATTCATTTTGAACGTTGTATTTAATAAAATGAATGAGATGACGCTTGATAGAGGACTACTTTATTGTTTGTTGATTGACTATGGTACACTACCATCCTAATACATATTTTAATCACTAGATGACGTTAGTGTGAATTAAATTATTATTTTGATAATAATAAACATATTTTAACAGTATTTTAGACGTTGTTTTATAGTACTTATTAGCTATTTAGTAATAATAAATGTTTAAAGTTTTAATATCTTATAGATATGTATAGTGATTAACAGTTGAAATTTCTTTTAATATTTTTTAAAAAAACACTATTGTATTGCTCAATACAACAGAGAGACTGCATTTTATGTCTATTTTATTGTAAATCCATGTAATCCATAATTTTAAATAGAAAAAAAAACGCAACACTTTTTTTTTCACTCAACGCCATATTTTTTTACATTCCGATTATTATCTCCGATCATATCGCACCTTTAGAATTGAAGTGACTTAATTAAAAATCTTAAGAAAAAGAGTTGGTATATACTTTGAACGACTTATAAACATATATTATATAAGTTTATTTTAATCTAGAAAAGGACAAAGTACACTTTCCGTCACTTTTAAATCAAGCACATACCTTAAACTTTAAATAATGCCCTTTAAGGCTTAAAGTATTTCAATCGAAATAGAAAAATTACAAATCTTTAATTACATTTTTGGCGCTTACTAAAAAACAAGAAATTCGGATTAAGCCACTTCAATTCTAAAGGTGCTGCGATATTATTTTCCAACAGCAAAAGCGCGGAAAAATTCCTATTAATAGATACAATACACTTTTTTCCACAAATAGTTTTTTTTTTGTGTCGACGGGAATATGATCTCAGAGCCTAGCTGGTATAAAAATAATATCTAGGTCCATTAATAGCAATAACGTGACGTAAGTATACGTAACCATTGTCAGTTATGTCAATATATTGTAAACAGAACTACGGCACTTGTGAATACAATTCACTTTATGTGTGGATGGACTATATGTGTGGATGAGCTCATGGCTCATGGCCTTGTTTATTGTTACGTTATATAGCCCATAGATATCACAATGTGTTTGCTGCAGCTTATCTGGAGACGTGAAGCTGGAATCTCTATAGATGCTCATGAAGGCGCACATTAATTTCTCGCCGGATCTTCTCAGCGGGTCGCGATTCCGATCCGGTAGTGGATTCATTCGCGAAGCAACTGCTCTTGAGTGGTTAGGTCTCCTTCGGAGGCGCTAGGGTAGCTGTTAGCAAATCCTAGCCCTCCTGGCTGAGGCTTTGCTCGCCCACCTGTCCTGGTGAAATTGGAAAGGCCTCAGGGCCACTAGTAATACTTCGAACATAAGAAAAAACAATTTTAATAAAGTTTATAAATTAAGTGTCTTTTGTTTACTATTTGGTGCTATTTACTGTTAGGGATTCGTGAGCACCTACAAACTTAGGAAAATATTGTCTGTCTTTGTAAATTGAATTCTGGTATAGTCCTATTAGTATTACTGTCATCAAGCAGTTATGCGTTCGGATTCGAAGGGTGGGGCAGGCTTTGTACTATTTAACTAGCTATTAGCTAGCTATCTAACTAACTTATGTTCCGGTAGCCACTTAACATCAAAGGCCGTGAGAAAGTACTGTTATACGGAATTGAAAAATGATATTTTTTAAAAACATTTCAATAATGAAATAGACATATAATGATAAACGACGATAATGACGGCAATCGTGCCGTGTGGAATTAGGAATAGGACTGACTGGATAGGGATGGGATTGTTCTCTAATAAAGGATCATAAGTGCTGATGCTATTCGGAAAAAGTGATGATGGAAGCAAAGCTAGAAACCAGAGGGTATCATAACAGTACCCACATCGAAGTAATTGAAAAAAAAGTCGCATTGTCAGATACTAGTGTATCAGAAAACTTAACCATAAAGACACTTGAAGATAACGTTCACACGAGATCTGCCGTAATGACAATTCGTATGGTCTCTTATTGCGAATACGATTTGTTACAGTCATCTTATAACTGGGCTATAAAGTCTCAATAACTCATTATCAAATAAGTTTAAGAAACGAAAAGCATTTTCTATAAAGGAAATTTTAAATTACATTATGTAGATTAGAAATTAGGCTCTTTAATCTTCAGGAACGAATAGACACTGTATATAAATATATTTAAATAGTACCATTGTAGGCAGGCGAGCATATGACCTGGTGGCAGGACCTCTTGTGAGTCCGCACGGGTAGGTACCACCACCCTGCCTATTTCTGCCGTGAAGTAGTAATGCGTTTCGGTTTAAAGGGTGGGGCAGTCGTTGTAACTATACTGCGACCTTAGAACTCAAGGTAGGCGGCGCATTTACGTTGTAGATGTCTATGAGCTCCAGTAACCACTTAGCACCGGGTGGGCTCGTCCACCCATCTAAGCAATAAATTAAAAAAATACCACCTAATGGTAACTAAACACCATCGCTTACGGACGTCATCTCCTAAGACCTCGTTGAAGAAGGACATGTCACAGCACTCGGGAAACAGAAGGGAGATTATCTATAAGGAGAAACACATATCTCAAAGTACTAAAATAAAAGAGTAATTCTCATTAATTATTTATTTATTTACACATTAATAATTATTTANAGAAACACATATCTCAAAGTACTAAAATAAAAGAGTAATTCTCATTAATTATTTATTTATTTACACATTAATAATTATTTAGTTTATTTATTTATCACGAGCCTTTCGTCTTACGACGTGCGTGATAACAATCGATGCCTCGTAATCTTACGAAACACAATGGAAGACACATACGCAAAAAAAAAAAATTGGTTGTCTGTAAAGTCGGTTTATGGACGATAGATTTACGTGATAACGTCAATAGTGAATATGCGAGCTGCTAGCTCTGACGTCAAGCGAGAAGAGAGATAAATGTGTCACAAGTCAACGCTTGGGCCGATCGTGCCTCTCTATCGCTTGTTCCGCGCTCTCGCTTGCACGCCCAGGAGGAACGTGACACTTTTTCGTGCGTGCAGCCGGTGTTCGTCGATTTATACGTTAGTATCGCGTCAAAAAAAAAATGCGAGTTGACCATGTTTAAAAATTGACGTTAAATAATTTAAAACACGAAAATGAACTGAATCCATTGGTGAAGTTACTCAAACTGACATGTTTAAATTCTAAATTTTATTTAAAAAAAAAAAAGAACAATCTCGAGTCAATTTAATTCCCTCTAAATTATATTAACTTAGTAGAGAGTACTTCTTATCAACATATCACGAAAATTGCAACTGTATCTTCGTGTGAACCGTTCTGAAATCAATTAACATTTTTTTTTTACTACAGCACAAAAGTCCATTTTGATACAAAGAGACTCGATTGCTTGAAATCTCGATTGCATCGTATAAATGCCATCTCACCTTTTTACGCGTGTTTTGAGGCAGAAATAGATTGGAAACACGACCCACTGAGAATATCCGATGAGAGACTCAGTGGGTTGTGTCTGTGGGTTAATTTACTCGCCATCCCTTCGTCGCAAGCGACGGATTCGACGAGAACAATGACCGGTGCTTGGGGTACCTAAAAGCACCGTTAGTAGATCGAGAGGATCCGAGATTACGTGTTTTGGGTGACGTTGACTGTTCACCATTCGGTCCGCAGGATCGACAATGTGGTTACCGGTGGCCACGACGAGAGGGTCCTCGTCGAAGCACTGCTCTTGTTAGGGTTAGTGTTAGCAAATTCTCTCAGGTTGAGCCCGTGAGCTTACATACCCGTCCGGGCGTAGCTGGTGCCAGCGAATAGGTAGGGAAAAAGAGAGAGGTCTGCTCAACGTCTGATCATTCATTAACAATATTATTGTTATTAATTATTGTATAACATTTTCAGAGTACACCATGTATTGTACTAGCAACTGTATTTACATACGAAGTTACCACGAAATAATGCGAAATAATTACGTTTGTTTTGCTAAATACCAGCTGTTTGTTTCACAATTACTTTTAATTGTCTAACTATTTATAGATGAAAAACCGTGTAAGACTCATTATTGTATCATATTGATAATTTAAAGGTTATACTAAGATTAAAAGTGTTTATTAAAGGCAAGGAGCATAATCGCCTTGTACAAAAAAGCGTTCGTCCAAAAGTGACCGATTTAGGTGGCGCCACCATAGCAACTGGTCAAAGATGGCGCCAAAAATTATTATTAAATTACACTCAGCACACTTCACTCCATTTACAATAGTTCATGGAGTTAATAAGTACCTAGTTACATTCGTACCATTCCATTGCGCTGCAATGCGCTGTTTTGGTGAGTTTTTAAGTTGTAATTTGCTACTTGCAGCTCGATACTTTTTAACTTATCCCCCGTATATGATCGCTCTTCTTATCCCTACCCTCCATACAATTAATTAAAAATTGGTTTGACACATGTTTGACATTCGCTTTTCAGTGTTCCTTTAGTATCTATGGCAAGGAGCTATTTAAAAGATAACGCAATGGTATTGCCAGCTTATCGCAAAAATAACTATTAACTAGTATTTTTTAAATATAAAAATTATACATAATTTATAATCAAAGTCTTGTTTTTGTGTCATTACTCCTTTCGTTTGACGGCTCCTGAGGCTGGCTCTCTTGTTCCTGGGCTTCTTTCAACGAGTCAGGCAGCTTCTGGTTGTTTGTCTCTGGTAACGTGAGGACCAGGAACCCTGATATGGCGGCCATGCTCCCAAACAACAACGTCGGAAGGTATTCGTAGTATCTCGTCTGTGTATCGAAAGCATATTTTAAATGGTATTTTTTAATAGAACTTTTAAAAATATAACTAGACACCTCTTTATTATATTATTGTATGGACGCGTGAATGAGATCACAACGTAAATGCCACCACCCATTTTGAGGCATTAGTCTCAATTTTATAATAATAATATGTTGACTGTCCCACCCTTCGAAGCGGACTTGGTGAGCGCTTCGTGCTACAACTAAACAGGATGGTGGTACCTAACCGAACGAGCCTAAAATACGTTTTACCAACAAGTAAATACCGCTCGAAGATCTCAGAACGCCGATATAACACTCAAAGAGCGCTTCTATCCATTCTCCGATATATACCTTAGTTTTCTTTTACAGTCCTCACGTGAAAGCCGAGGACTGATGTAATTCAACACCTACAAGTCTCGACCCGAACCCGAGAAGCCCCCCTGGTGGAAGATATTTCTTTTGTAGACGAAGAAACAAAGGGAAATGTCTTGAAAATCCATGCTAACACGTTGTTTTTGCCACTCGAACAACTTTTGATATAAAACCTCAGCAGGTGTAGTTGCATTAATGATAAAGCCTAGGCCCGTCCTGGTAGGCACCATCCTGTCTATCTTCACGGCGCAGTTGTGTTTGAAGGGTGGGATAGCTATTATACATTACACATACACAATACGAGACCAGGCAGCGGCCTTGCCCTTAACACAGCATACTGGCCCTCCTATAATTACAATTAACAAAATTACATTTGAGATTTCAGTCTCGTGTCTCTAAACGGGTGGTGGAATTGAAGGTATATGTCATCAATGTTTGCGGTCACAATTTTTATGGCAAGCGGACCGTGACAACCATATTAAAATCTTTAATTTGTTTAGCAATAGTCACAGTGGAGGTTGACGATTTATTACATCTTCTTTATCTGAGGATCGCGACCACATGTGACATTCCTCCACAGTGTTCGGTCATGGGTGGAATGGACCGCATGGTACAGACTACCACCAAGTGCTTCTCTTACTAGATCTGACCATCTGGCTGATATTCTGCCCACGGCGCGCTTGATCTCCACGCGACCCGTAATGAGCTTTTCTAATTCATGTTTGGGAGACCGCGTGATGTGTCTGAAGAAGCTCATAACACGTTCCCGGCAGATGGCAGAGAGTCTTTCTCGGATGTTTGACTCCCTTAGAACGGACTCGTTAGTTCTCATGGCAGTCCACGGTATTCGTAGCATCCTCCGCCACACCCACATTTCAAAGGCATCGATTTAATACATACATACAATAAACTCACCAATAACGGTGTTTGGGGGGCCACAGTGGAACCGGTCCTTCCAAGCGTTGAGCACATCGCCATCAGCGTGGTTCTGTAGTTGGTCGGGAAGACCTCAGCGGCGAACACGTACAGAGAGTTGTATGCGAGCGTGATGAAGAACTTTCCACCGAGATACAGCAGTATCGACCAGTTACCCGCTGAAAGGATACAAAAACATAATATGCTATCAATTTTATTGTAAGTTATTTTGTCAAACTATGATTTACATTTGACCAAGGTCACCAAAATCCGTATTGCTCTTTTAGGTTTTTCACTTGGAGGAATAGCAGTGAACCGATAGACCCGACGAATCTGCTCAATTATGGACATAGACTTTTTTATTTTTTTTATTGCTTAGATGGGTGGACAAGCTCACAGCCCACCACAGGTGGTAAGTGGTTACTGGAGCCCATGGACATCTACAACGTAAATGCGCCACCCACCTTGAGATATAAGTTCTAAGATCTCAGTATAGTTACAACGGCTGCCCCCACCCTTCAAACCGAAACGCATTACTGCTTCACGGCAGAAATAGGCAGGGCGGTGGTACCTACCCACACGGACTCACAAGAGGTCCTACCACCAGTAAAAAAGACTAAAGACTAGGTCATGTTTAATACTAAACTTAACTTCGGTATTTCCACCGTATGTATCAAAGTGGACGGTAACATTTATATGGATATCTGTGGGCTGCACTAGCTACTTATTTAAGAAAAGAGAGGAGAAATAGGTATTAGACTTTGGGAGGAGATGCGAGAGGTGTGAATTTTTTTTATTTATTACTTTTATGTACTTCTATTAATGTAGTGTTTCTTCAGGTTTAAATGTCTAAAAACGTCTCAGTAGATAACCATTCTTTTTACTGAGACATCATACACATAGTTCATCTCATCTCGGTTCATATTATTTCATCCTTTTTTTTATTGCTCTTGTAGGCAGACGAGCACACAGCCCACCTGATGGTGAGTGGTTACCGTCGCCCATGGACTTTAGCAATGCCAAGGGCACAGTCAAGCCGCTGCCTAACGTTAAATCCCAATTGACTATAGTCTCCAATTTATCATTTTCATTATAATATTATGTATTTATTAATTAAAGATTTTTATAAATTCGACACTGGCAACAACAACGTCGCAAGAAGCCAGTTGCCATGTTTAAAAAGAAAAGAACAAAGAATAATTATAAGGCAACATTTTTAAATAGTACTCACAGGGGACAAATCCATAGTTGATAAGAATCAATCCAGTCATCAGAAAAGCAACCGCAATAACTCTTTTCCTTCCGAATCTGTCCAGGAATATCAACTTGCAAACATTTGCGGGAGCTTCGATCACCAGCACAACTATATAATTTAAGTAACTATTCCCCGATAGTTCTATAGCGTTTATAGATAATCCATAATACACTAGAGTAGACGAGGTCCACAGGAAAGAACAAGTGAATAGTCTTTTCCATATGATTTTTGACGAAAGTAGTTGCTTGAAGGTTGACTGATTCCTGGCCATAGATTCGCACTTTCTGTCGTCACGTTGTTTTGTGGCGTGTTTCTCGACTTGTTCGTAATGGTCTTTTGGTACGAAGACTTTGTTAAGCCTCTCCGATTTCGCGAGAACATCCAAGCCTTCATTATATAGTCCTTTGCTGAACAACCACCTGAAGCTCTCCGTTAGGGTCCAGATATAAACGAACACTAGGACAGCTGGTGTGTAGATGATGAAGAGGAGGTACCTCCAGTTTTGGAGCCACCACGACAACAGAGTTACTGCCACTCCCCCGAGGATGAACATGGTGTTAAATAGCAGACTGACGAAGACTCGGCCTTTGGGACCGACCAATTCTAATGCTGTAACAATTCATATTTATATTTACTAGTAGTCGTCCGGTAGTCGAAATTCGACTATAATTAATTTAAATTATAAGTTTGAACATTATTAAGGGTCTATTGTCAAAGATTATCATAAACCTCTATATAAACAGATTTCGCCAAGGCTATAGATAAATAATATTGAAGACAAACAATATTAATCTATTCTGAATTTGACCACAGATTTTAACAATAAACAAAAGAGTATACATGCGTGTTGTGACAAATACGTGGTAGTGTGCGTAATATTTTTTTTAATCGATTTAGTGTATTTTATATATAATTTAAAAAAAAATTATTAGCATTCTGCACTCCTCTGTCATTTTCTATAAGTGTGGGAAATTTCATACTCCTCCGACCTAGAAAATTTCGTAAAAAAGAGTACAAAGTTTTCTTTTCACGTATTAATATATAGATTAAAATTATTTGGATGTGTTTTGCAGTATACCATTCAAAATAAATAGAAATATCAAGTTGATTGTGTTGCAGTGTGGATAGGTAAAATTTAATAGACCCACTTATTTTCAGTAGAACGGATGGGTTGATGAGCTTTTGTACAGATTAACTGAGAATAACATGAAGTCGCTCAATTTCATAATCATCAGTGTTGTTATTGCTTAAATAAATGGAGGAGCTCACCGACCATCTGTTCTCAAATGGTTACCGGAGTCTATAGACCTCAACAACGTAAATGCCACCACACACCATCGGACATGAGTTCTAAGTTTCAATTTTTACAGTACAAGGGCTGCCTCGCCCTTCAAACCGAAACGCATTACTGCTTCACGGCAGAAATAGTCAGGGTTGTGGTACCTACCCGTGCAGGCCCACCAGACTCCTTACCACCAAAATTACGCAAATTAAAATTTTCGTGGGTTTGATTTTTATTATTCCTCCATCGTGGTAATTATTCGCGAACATTTGTCAAGAAAGTATTTTATTTAAAAAATTGGTGGTAAAAATTGGGATTCGAACATCGGCTCAATCGCATCGCTGGATGCCAATGTACCAGACGTCTTATCCTTTAGGCCACAATGACTTCAGACAGTAACGAATTAGATTAATTGAAACCGTGATGCATGGTTGCTTATCTACAAAAATAGGTAGGATGATGTTTTCGAAGCTAAAGGCTTTTTTTATTTGGTCAAGAACTAATTATCAGTGCTATTTTAGACGGTTTATATGGCGGGTAGCCATCATATAACGCAAGATATTTGACAGATACCTGAAACTCGCTTACGGCATTTTCAAGATAAACTCGCATATATACAAGTTCCGAACAACATCATTTGGACTGTCGGTCTACCGAGAAATATCACCCGCTCGGCGTAAGATCTTCCCCTTATCGTACTCCTACAGTTTAAAATGAGTATATCCAAAAAGTAATCATAGTTTTTTTTTTACCGGAAAGAGTAAACTCAACTTTGAGGACATATCTATTGCCTATTTAACCGTAACTGATATACGTGACGATTGGCCAAACACAATGGACGTGTTGTACTTCAAAACACAGATCAAAGTCACCTACCTTTCCGAATCGCAATGACTCGCGAATTCGCTTTTTATTAGCCTCGAACAATATGGGATGGGTGACCAATCGTACAAGTTACCGCCGCTGGAATGATAGAGCAGTGAGCCACGGAAATCGGCAATTAGTTAGTCAAGCTATTGTTTACGGTAAACCCCCTAAATCTCATTTCAAGCACGTTTCTTGTACTTCAAATACACTTCCCCCCGTATTCTAGAACTAAATGGAATCACATTCGATTGTTGATTAAAATCCAATTCGTTAACGGAATTGAATTAACATCACGGAAAACAACGGATGTTTGACTATTATCCGAAATGATATTAAAACTGGAACCTTTTTTTATACTGATTTAATCGGGTAGCGATGTAGAGGTCATATAACTTTAAGCTTGGTTGAGCAGCAATGTAAAGGAGATCTTACGCGACTTTAAGCTTCGTTTAAGCTTTAATATTACATTGATAGCTGAACGGGCATTCGGCAACGGGCATTAAGTGGCCATTGAAGCCTGTAAATTTCAGGAGGTGCTTGTCGCCACATTTTTTTTTCGGACAGGTGGCCGAACCTCTATCAATGTATCCGCACTTGAAGGACACAGAGGGTATGTGGGACTTAACGATCTGAGGATGTTGATAGCAGACCGCAGGCTCAAGGATATTTTTAGGGTCCTACCGCGCCTGCCGCCACCTACTTTAAGTCTAAGTCTGAATTGCATACCAGGTGTTCCTTCAAATTGTAATGCATAACTGATTTCGCAGCACTAGTTGGAAGTATCATCCCACAAAAGGAGCAATTATGGCCACTCAAGCATGGGTCAAAAAACTGGATGAGAGAAGCCGAGGATCGTGCTGAGTGGCATGTAATTGGAGAGGTCTATGTCCAGTAGTGAACTGCTATAGGCTGATGATAATGAAGCACCGGTCACCGTTCGACGAGCGAACTAACACATAGACTCAGCCCACTGAGTTTCGGGCCGGATCTTTTGAGTGGGTCGCGATTTGACCATATGGTAGACTGTGCGAAGCACTGCTCTGGCTAGGCTTGCTAGGGCTCTTCTTCTTCTCCATCGCTCCCTCATTACTGAAGATCATGACTAAGTTTCAGTTTGTCGACTGCCAGTCTCCATCGGTTCCTGTCAGTTGCCTGATATAGTGCAGCGCTAAGTGGTCCACTGGTTTGCTCGGAGATCTGGTCGGACCAACGTTTGGGGCTCCGACCTCTAGGACGTTTTCCTTCTACTTTTCCAGTGACCATCAGACGTTCCAAGCTCTCTACACCTCTGCGGGCAACGTGGCCAAAGTAGTGCATTATGCGTTGCAGACAGGTGTTAGACAGGCGTTGAGCGTTCTCCATTTTAAGCTGTTGTAGAACCGAGATATTCGTGCGGTGGGCCGTCCATGGAGTCTTTAATAGGCGGCTAGGACCAGTGTTAGCAACACTCCCGGCTTGAGCCTCGTGAGCTCACCTACACGTCAAGGAGAAGCTGAAATAGCCTCTCAAGGCTATCAGCATAGATAGGGAAAAAAATAAAGTAATAATTAACACACAAGATTAAACCGTAATGGTAACCGTTATGTTAACAAATACCAAAAGCCGAAGGGAATAAATGCTGCATCCATAATTCATTAAATGGTTCATTAAATGGCACAGCGGCTCTCAATCATCGTGTCGGGACACAATAGTTGGTAGTAATTACGATATTCTATATCTAAGATATCCCGGGCAATTGTATATGAAGTAAACGAACACGCTTAACAGATGAATGATGTATAATATATAAATATAAATTGCATTTAAGCATTTAAAGGTGTCGCGAATTTGTAACGAGCATAATATTTCGTCCGTCGCCGAATAAAAAAGTTTGAGAGCCACCGAACTAGTAATTAGTAACTACATAAATCGGACAACTCAAGCATTAAGTACTCATGGACATTTCATAAGAAAGTTACTGAAACGGTTTATATAGGAAGTTGGGAAGCAAAAACTATAATTAGTTACAGACGGATAATTGTTGAGGCGCATCGCGAAGGCTGTGTGTTGGCTAAATTTGGTGCCGTTATTATTATTATTTTTATTGATTTGTTTGGTTAGCGTTTATTAGCGGTAATGCTAACTTAAATTAACATACCTGACTTAAAACCATCGCTCTATTTCAATATTATTTATCTACGAATACTCTGCCACACAGAGCGATGTCTCGAATTATAATCTCGCTAAAACTCGAGAACGGCTGGACAATTTTAGTCTTGAATTATGTATGGAAGTCTAGGGAAGGTTCAAAAGGTAGATAAATATGAAAATACTCGGAATTAATTAAAAATAACAATTTTGTTTTTGCTTTGATGTGTCCCTCGTCGGTCGGATTCCTTTTGTTTGTTTTAACTTTATTTTATACAAAAGTTTAGGTCTTTTATTTATCGATTGAGGCACTATGAAGTTTGCCGGGTCAGCTAGTATCCAATAAATTTAACAGCTCAGCCTAAAGCTTTAGATGGTCTGATTGGAAAAGGAAGACTATACCGCGCTTGAGGTCCTCAACGCGGTGGATAGATCAAATCAACAGGGAGAGATGGATGGATATCGTCAGATGCATGAGATCTGTCTCTTCTAAGGCTAGATAACAAAGAACTCTGTAAACGTTTGAAGTCGTCGTGGCCTATAGGATAAGACGACCGGTGCATTCGTATCTAGCGAGGCACCGCTGTTGCAATCCCGCAATTTTTCTAATAACATACGTACTTAACAAATGTTCACGATTGACTTCCACGGTGTAGGAATAACATCGTGTCATAAAAATCAAACCCGCAGAATTATAATTTACATAATTACTGATGGTAGGACCTCTTGTGAGTCCGCACGGATAGGTACCACCACCCTGCCTATTTCTGCCGTGAAGCAGTAATGCGTTTCGGTTTGAAGGGTGGGGCATTCACTAATTCGTAATTTAACCTTATTTACCCTAAAAAAGGTTAAATTATGTGATTGACATCCTGATACTGTGACTGATATGCAGTGATTTAGGATAAATAAGGTTAAATTACGAATTAGTGAATTCGTGATTTACTAATTTATTGTTTACTGAACCGTGAATTGAACAATAATAGCAATATAATAAAATTGTGAATCTATTTTGTTTGATCTTCGAAGAGTCTAGGATTGGTTAATAATTCTAGTTTTTCAATGATATTTCATTTTAAATAAAAAAGATCATAGCCACAAGCAAAGGTGTTTGACCTTCATAGTGCCACTGAGAAATTCTTATTGTCAATTTCCTCACGTAATTTTTTGTTCGTTATATCGAACACCGATACTAGATCTATTTATAATTAGTTGCAAAGGAAAAGTCAACGATTTGTGGTGAATGCTTCGTTCGCGGTTTTTTCCGTTCTCAATTTTGATTGGTTTTGAAATTCGAACAAAAAAATGTGATTTAAAAAACCTTTCGTTTGAC